GCGTGGTGAGTACGTGAGTACCAGTAACGTCACAGACTTGTATTTGAGAGGTGTTCGGTTTGAATCTAGTTAGGAACACTGCCTATTTTGACTGAGGTTCTTGTGTAGTCCTCAGTCCATGCAGGCAGATACCAAGCTAGCACTTTGATTATGCCATGACAATTTCCTTCCAAATCCTTTCCAATTCATTATTCACTAAGCATCCCGCCATTCGACGGCCAGATAGCATGAAATTTGGCTTCGTAAAATAAATCACAGGAAATAATTTCCGACGTTCTGAGGGAAGTGCAACTTCAGTCTTCAGGTTCAACCACCGCAGCGAGTTCTTCAGTTCTTCTTGTAACTGAATTCGGTATAACCATGGAAGCAATTTTTTTTCCCCTTGGCACTACAGCCCCACTGGGCCTAGGCCTACTTCCATGATCTTCTCCGTTCACTTCGGCTTTTCTAGATCTTACACATTCGGTAGGACTCTTTGGGCGGGTGATCAGCTCGTCGCAAGACCTCTACTTGTACACAAACACAGAAAAACGCACACACACAAACTAAACATCCATGCCCTGAGTGGGATTGGAACCCACGATCCTGGTTTCCAAGCGAGCGAAGACAGTACATGCCTTACACCGCTCGGCTACCGTGACCGGCATGGAAGCAATTAGGTTAATTAAAATGAAACCAAGCCGGTCACGGTAGCCGAGCGGTCTAATTCATGCACTGTCTTCGCTCGCTCGGAAGCCGGGATCGTGGGTTCGAATCCCACTCAGGGCATGGATGTTTGTGTGCGTTTTTCTGTGTTTGTCTACAGGTAGAGGCCTTGCGACGAGCTGATCACTCACCCAAGGAGTCCTACCGTATGTGTAAGATCTAGTGAAACGGAGAGTTTCATGGAGGTAGGCCTAGGCCCAAATTTGGGCTGTAGCGCCACAGAAAAAAAAAATGAAACCTATAGTTGTGTCCATATCGTTAATCTTTCTTGCAATGGGCTTACTTCTTCTAATTAGAATGGCCTGAAATAAGGTGATGCTTTATCGCCACTGCTTTTCAACGTTGCTTTATAATATTCAACAGGAACGTCAAGAAAATCAAGATGAATTGAAACTGAATTGGGCACATAAACTTCAAATACTGACTTTAGGCTTTCGCTGTTGTTACTTCTTCTGCCGCGACCGATTAGGCTGTCTGTTCTGTTCCTATTCAGAGTGAATTATGAAATTATAAATCTTATATGCAGTTGGTAGGACTGCTTGGATGGGGGATTGGGCTGTCGCAATTGCCGCTACCTGCGATAGTTGATTATTGACGTTCTTTACTTGTGTTCATACACCGCATGGGTGTGGGCAATGTGGCCAACGGTTTCGAGGTACGTGCTGTCTCCATTTTCAAGGTAGAAAAATTAATACCAACAGCAACTTATTTTCTTTTAAGTTGGTTATTTAACCAATGTCACAGCATCGAGACTATATAGCGTCGGCGATAGGACGATTAACCAATGTGGAACGGTTGGTGCTATGAGAGCTGCCAGAGGAAATCGAAGTACTTGGGGAAAACCTGCCACAGTTCCACTTTATACACCACAAATACCACATGACTTAACGAGCATCTAACCCATGTCACTAGGCCGTGTCATAGCTCAAGCGGTCAGTAGCTGGCTTCCCATCGCGGCGGCCCGGGTTCGATCCCGGGTCTGGTCAAGTGGGATTTGTGGTGGACAAAGTGGCGCTGGGGCAGGTTTTCTCCGAGTACTTAGGTTTCCCCTGCCAATCTTCATTGCACCAATTGCTCCACAATCACCCTCACCTATCATCTGGGGCTGGTACAATAGACCAGAAGTGGCCGCAGTACAAGGGACTTAGTCCCACTCCACTAGCAATAAAAACATGTCGCCACATCAACTTCTTGTCGGTGCTGATAAAATAAATATAGACTGTTAGGCAAAATATAAATACCATAAACAAGAATTTTTACTTAATGCTGGTACTACTCTTGTGTTTTTACAACGTATTTACGTGTATATGGGAGTTGTTGGCGACGTTTCGGAAGTACATTATGTTTTCATCTTCAGAGACGAAGAGAGTGGAGTAAATGAGTGTTTATGTATATATAAGTTTTGATCCGGTGTCCGGTACTGTTCCCCCTCCCCTATACACTCCCCTCCAGGTTTGTTGGACATTACCCTATATTTGCATGAACACTTACCCTACGCGCTTGATTCCTGAAGATGGAGGTAGTATATAGCACTGTCCACATCGGCGCAGTGCAAGGACCCAAGAGAAGAACTTCAGTAGTGAGGCATCATCCAAGCCTCAACTAATAAGAACTTCTAATTACAGCCGGAAGGTCACGGTTTCGATTCCCGATGAGGTATTGGATTTTTCAATTTACCTAATCCTTCCAGTCAAACTATGGTCCTGAAGTCGACTCAGCCTCTAACAGAAATAAGTACCAGGAATCTGCCTGGGGTAAAGGGCGTCCAGCTGGCGCGTAAGGCTGACAGTCTTACTGCCATCTGTGAGCTGATTGTCTAGAAAATGTGGGAGCCTCGACGTCTCACAACCGTATGGGCCTCCATGGCCGGTTACAGAGACAGATAAATAAAAAGATAGGGAGGTTGGGATGGAAGTGAGAACAGAGAAACACGTGTAAGTGTAAGGCTATAATCGAGTCGGATGGTCCAGGGTGGCGCCCCGTGTTGTTCTATTTTTCTGCGCCGGGGCGCCGCCCTGGCTTCTCATTTAGGGACAGTGATAACAAACATGGTTGGTTGCCCGTCTGCCAGTCCCCGACCAATCCCGACTTCCTGCATGTGCGTCAGTTACAGTGAGATAACGGACGAAGAGTTCTAGCTTCTGGAATATAACGCCATGTAGCTCGTCGAAAATCAACCATTGTTTCGGAGGAAAATGTTGCCTCCGTTTTCAGGGTTGAAGAATGGGCAAGCAAGAGACTAGCGTGAAGCAGATAGCAAGCAGAGACCGTTGTATTCCACAAAACAGAACTCTCCATAATCCCAGCTGTGAGGGCTTCAAATCCTGCATTGCAATTGGTGTTTGTCTTGATGAGAACCAATGTTTGATCAGAAACCAGTCACGAATCTAACTGGCTTAAAATGGCAGGGTCTGAACGAGTAGGTAAAATATTTCCTTCACGCGTAATTCAGCGAAATAAAGGCACCTTCTGTTGATATGTATGTGACGGCACGACACGAAGTTCTTCTGGGTGTGTTGGGGCAGTAGGAAGGAGGATGAATGAATAAATGTTAGGTGTAGGAGGACTAGTATTTGGGTTCGAATCTCCGTCTGTACTCAGTTATCACAGCTCAGGTATTTTTTCTTCGTAATTTTCTTCGATTGTTGCTGGCAAGATAAAGATAAATTACAGTCCTCTTTCAATTCATCTCCAATCCTATCTCCATAGTAAATAACTTACCGGCGCTTTTGTGCAAAGAAGTGTCCTCTTGGCTGCTTTTGTAAGGAAAAGGTTGAGATAGTACTTTTAGATGCCAACTTTTGCGGATAGAGGGTGTCGCTTGGTCAGCGCAACGGATTCCCAATGCCGTTAATCTCGGTTTTCTAGACCGGAGCCGCTACTTTTCCATTCAAGTAGCTCCTCAGTTATCCTCACGAGGCTGAGTGGACCCCGTTCCAGACCCACTACTTCCCAGAAGATCTGGTAGCGCCGGGAATAGAGCCCGGGACCTCTGTATCTGTAGCCAGGAATTCTGACCACTAGACCACAGTTTGCACTAACTTCGCCGACAAGCGGCGGTCGCTCGGTCGGTATAGTTCGCTTGCGGACTAAAGGTCACAAAAGTGGGAGAATCTAGGATTTTTCCAGAAGGGGAGGGAGCCAGTTTTTCAAGTGGAGGGAAGCCTGAAAATGTGTTTACAAATGCGCGTTCAAGCTGTTTAATATTATTCTTACTGATGACTGTAGTGATTCTTAGCCGATGGTACTCGTATCCCAAGGGGTGCAAGAAAGATGTTTGGGGCTTTCATGAACACAAATAAAAATGTCTTAATTTTTGTTTGTATTTTGAATTGTTTCATTTTTTGGTCCGTTACACTATCAATCACAAAGTCAATAGAAAGTCCGTCGAGTGTAACAATTTGTAGGTCACTTCTTTATCACTTCTGCCTTACATGTTTCGGCTTAATAAAACCATCATCAGAGGCACATAGTACAATCATGAAAACACTGTCGTTGTTTAAGATGTACACACTTATATTTGCTGCGTGGACGCTGCTACAATATGTCGACGTGTAAAAGCACAACACTTGCTAGGATTGTTGAATGCACGTTCAATTCTCACATCCATCCGAAACTGCCCTCAAGTTAAAACGCCAATGTTAAAATATTCAAAAATTTAAAACATTTTACATTTTACTATGTGCCTCTGATGATGGTTTTATTAAGCCGAAACATGTAAGGCAGAAGTGATAAAGAAGTGACCTACAAATTGTTACACTCGACGGACTTTCTATTGACTTTTTGTTTGTATCCTTTTTGCATGGTCGTTAGTACGTTAGCAAGTTTGTTGCCTGTAGGTAATTACTTCCAAGCAGCAATTCACGATAAAGGCATTTAAACAAGTGCGTTGCAGTGGTAGAAGGAACTGTGTTTGAAAATTTCGATGTACTTCAAGATTTTTTAAAGGGGGTACAGTGTAAAATAGTTGCGAAACACTGTTTGGAGTATTTGGGAGCGAAAGAATCAACATTTTATTAATTTTTGGTATATTGATATTTGATGTATTTCTTTGCTCCGTTTGATTTTTTTTTTATCAGGAAGGGGCAGAGTCCTAGATTTCTCCCCCTGCTGGCCCCCATGGTCTCCGAACTGTTAATTTATTCCTATTTTTATCCATTCACCGCTCCTTGAGACACCCTTCACCGAGCACAGACGGCACAGACTTACCCGAAACCGATTACCACAAACGTAAACATAAGTTTGCTATGCCCATTCATAGTTGTCGCTACTGATCAAGCAAAACAGGAGTTCATATCGGCCGCTCCAATCCAAGATATCACCGGCATTCGTGCATTAAGCAGCTCACGAGGACTATGTACAGTTATCCACAATCCGTGTAACTGAGCACAGCTGCTGGTGTCCTTGACGACTGCCTCGTTTGCCTTGTTAACAGTTCCGCAGCCATATTCAGCTGTATGAAGAACATCTGCTGCATCTGAATTCGGTACTGATCGTTAGTGTCACTTATCCCGGTGAGTCATCTAATTTTATTTATGTACTTAATACTTCGATTTTAAGTCTAAACGCACACAATACGATTTATGACTGACAGTATATGTGTTGTGTAATTTTCACCACCCCCCCCTTTCAATTAAAATTCTGTCCTAATGACGTAACTCCATTCGCTGTTTTAATGGGGAAAGGAGGGAAGAAGATAAACGTGCGAAAGGGATAAATGAAACAGAGACGTTGAAGGATGATGATAAATTATTCTCTGTTGAATTTTAACGGCATTTTTCCTCCAGTGTTATGTATTACGTAACAGTAAAATCAGTTTCAGTCTCGTATTGGGAGTAGAGTTTCAATAGATTTTAGGTGGCGCATTTTATATGTATGTGTGTGGATCTTAATGTTGTATTATAAATACATTGCAGAGATGTTCTCCAAATTTATTATGAGCATATGTGCCGGGTGATGCAGACGGGAGTAGGAATGACTGGGCTCACCTAAGCCAGGACTCCGTTATAATAATTAACATTTTAATGCCAATTTCTAAAGCATATTGATCAGGTGAAAACTGAGCAAATCGAGATTCTATTGCAGAATATTCCCAAAATATTTAAAATGAATATTACGCCTAACCGGTATAGCGCAGTCGGTATAGCGACTGGCTACGGGTTGGATGACTAAGGGGTCGGAGTTCGAGACCTGATGGGGGCAAGAATTTTCTCTTCCCCAAGTCCTCCAAACTGGCCCTGGGGTCCACACGACCTCATATCCAATGGCTACCGTGGGCTTTCCCCCGGGGTAAAGCGGCAGGGGCGTGAAGCTGACCACTCACCTCCAACTAATGCCGAGATCAAGAAAATGTGGATCTATATATCCACTCCCCCATACGCCTCAATGGTGTAGTGCTTAATTAGTTAAGCACATGGACAACTTTAACTTCTTTACGCTTGATTGCATCCCTGCGGGGCGAACGTCCTTCCGTCTCTACCCATGAAATAACCCGACAACTGAGCGGGTTTTCATACAATTTGATATTGGGGGTTCTGTTAACTCATGCCAATATGGGTTAAATTGGGGACGTAATAATGGACCTTTTGCAAGTGCTTTTGTGTGCAAGCTTAACTCACACGCAACTGACATGTATTGGAACCAAAAATTTGTTACAGAGTTTTGAGAGGAACATGGAATGCGTTTTTATGCACAAATACACATTTCCCATACACTTTACAGTTTTCAAGAGAGCTAAACGAAAGAGAGACAAGGCTCCAAAAGTGTTACATTATGTATAGAATTGCTGGCGAATTTTTTGAGCTTTGAAATTGACGTGCTTGCCATTACGTACTGCGTTCCAGTACCCTCTCACCCCCACCTGGGGGGTGGGGGTGCAGCAGGGACATACGGCCCAGGCCCCTGGTACTAAATATATTCTTATTTAATTTAAAAGAATGTTATAATTAAGCAAGCATAAGGGAATTCTGTTTACTTGAATTGTTGGCCTGTTATTCTTGGCCTTTATTCGACATTTGTTTTGTAGAGCATCTGATTGTCTGAAAGTACTTATTAGATGCATTTATATGACTTTTATATGGGGGTTGGGAGTCTAATATTTGTGACTCACTCGGGCTCAATCTCACCGCTCACAGACCCTACCTACGTGCATATTTGTGCGCATGTGTACGCGTTTCTTAGGGTAGGACCCATTTTTCTTATAAATATCTTAATGTTTTAACGTGTATACCAATGGGCTCTAGTATTTATCCAGAGTTTTTTGTTTCCCCATACAAATAAACCAACACACAGAAAAAAAATGTTGTCTTATATGGCCCACAACTCGTTAATCAAGGAGATATATTTTACTGAAACACACTGTAAACAATATTTCTGTGAACACCATCTTAGATCTGGCGCAGCTCAGTAGGTATAGCGACTAGTTACGGGCTGAATGACCTAGGAACAAGGGTTAGATTGCTAGCAAGGCAAAAACAAACATCACTTGCTTGTTTGATTGATCGGCCTATTCTTCGACCCTGAAGCAAGAGGCAATATATTCTTCCGAAACGTTGGGAAACTTCTGCCAGACGACATGGCAGCATATCACGGAAGATAGCATTGTCCAATTTTTCTCTTCTCCACAGATTTCAGGTGTCGCCTGAGGCCCAAAGGGTACCGGTGAGCTCTTGCTCTGGGGGTTAAAACGGCCGGGGTGTGAAGCTGATCGCTCACCTGTACCCAGTGACGAGGTTAAGAATTCATGTACATCTTCATGGCGTGATGTTTAATTAAGTACAGCGACTTCTTTACCTTTTTACTTCCATTTATTTACTTAAAAATTGCTGATGCAGAGTTCGTCTTTACTGTCGTTACAACCCTACGTGGGTTTTGGCCTTCTCCGTGGTTTTCTGGAGGTTTCGCAACAGTAAATTTTTTTATGAGTGTGGTCGTTAGCCCCACATCCCCCCCCCCATCCTGGAGGTCCAGGGACTACACTTCGCCCCGCCATTTTCTTTGACTGGCATGGGTGACTCTGCCAGGAGCTTACACTCTCGCCAGCATAGCTCTCCGGGTCATTGGGGCGCGCTAAACTCCTCCGCACCATAAGGCAGTAGTCCTCGAGGAAGACTGCCTCAGAGTAGTGAAGCCAGTATGTTATTCTGGTCTCTGTTCCAGCATTTTATGGAATTAGCGAGTTCGAGTGACCTGTCACAGGTCCCCGTGCTATACTACGAAGCGAAAGAAACGAATAAGATCCTATTATTGGCTCTGTCACCTTGCTCGTTTGTAATCTTCATATATTAATTTACGGTGTGTTTATACACGAACTGTGATGTCAGAGCCAATAATTTTTTCATTCATAATTTGACGCTGAAGTGCATTATTCCTACTGAACAAGAAAATTAATCCAGCCCATAATCTACCAACATATATATATATATATTTTTAAATCCATTTTAATATCCTCCTATCTACCTCCAAGTATTTCAAAGGTATCTTTCTTCCAAGATTTCCTACTGATATTTTGTATGCATTCTTCTTATTTGTTGTGTTTGCTACATGCACTGCCCATCTTATTCTCCTAGGTTTGATCGTCCTAATAATATGGTGAGAGGCATAAATTATGAAGCTCCTTATCGTGCAGTTGACTCCAGCCTCCCTCTGAAGTTTAAGTAAATCATAAATAAACAATATTTTCTCTTCTGTCAGAAAAATGGTATCTCGGTGCATCAGAATATGATAATTTTATCTGTTGAACTGTCATAAAGTACATAGTGTAACTTAACAGGCAACTTCAGTGATGCGCTGCACTGGCCTGGATTCTGGTACTGCTCCCTCGTGTTGCTAAGTTCACATTTCACTACGTGTAAAGAACATCCTGGACAAGGCTTCTTCTTCTTCTTCTTCTTCTTCTTCTTCTTATTTTGTAATTGGTATAGGGGTACCATATCTCAATTCTTTAAAGCGCGGCGGTGACTATATGTACCACCTCCTTTAACATTAAACATCTCTGCATTCTGCCTATAGAATGTGTTGATGGATTTCGTACGATTCTTAGAATAAACAGTCTCAATTTCCGCCTTTCAAATTTCCTTACCGCCCTTCCCCCAGAGCTGTTTCGGGGTTAAAGCGACAGGGACATGAAGCTGACCACTCACCTCCATCTAGTGCCGAGGTCAAGAATGGTAACGCCGAACCTCCACGCTCCCATGCGTCTTCATGCCGTGGTGATTATTGGATCGAGCCCAGGGATAACTTTACAGTAAAGCCTCGAATAAACGGAACCGATTTAACGGATAAAATTCTTCGGTACTTTTCTTTTGTTCTCCTGTCGATATATCGGTACTTCCCCGTAACAGTCTGCTTGATATTTCCTGTCGTGCTGCGAACGTAACGCGTCTCTAGTACAACACAAATTGTTCCATCACAAATGAAATTTGTGTTGTGCGTGTTTCGTTTGTTCTGTTACATTTTTTTTTTTGTAAAGTAATATATCATGGTGGAAAAAAGAAAAATTACAAACTTGAGTGTAAAACAAAAATTAGAATTTATTGAAAAACTAAACAATTTTGGTTTGATACAAATATTTTTTTACGGACAATGGGATTTAAGGGACATTTCGGCAATATCGGACACCGTTCCCCCCAATTAGACCATTAAATCGAGAATATGCTGTACCCAATTTATATCCCTAAACAGCATTAACTGATTGGTCTCTGTAATGTTGACGGATTGTGTTTCCTGTGAGGGAGGAACTGAATTTTTATGTAGGTATTGTTTAGTTGAATTTCAGGTTTCAGAGGGCTAATTACATCTAATCTCTCCATGTCTCAAAACGTACACTTAAAAAGCAGATAAAATAGATAATCTATGATAAGATGTCACCTGAAGAACGCAGAACCAGGAGCACGATAAATGAACATCCAACAACTTATGTGGGTAGCGCCCTATCTTATCTCGGCTATGTGCGTCTGCATCTTCCATTGTTTGGTCACAGGTGACTAATTACGTCCGCATTTATCGCTGATGAGTGGTTATGCTTCAGACTCATTTGTACGTTTATAACATTATTTTTACTGTTTATAGGCATTTTATTCTGTATTTCAATTTTTTGGCCCACAGATATTCTTAGGTAAATGAATAAGATATCGTCTACCATGGTGAATAGTAATTTATGTGTTCAATTCTAGCCTGAAATGAAGAGTTCAGTTTATCCTAATGCATAATCTGACAGTAGGAGTTTCTGGGAAATTTACATTGTGAGATATGACGAATGTTTGAAAGTTGAGAAATATGACTGCCAGTTTTGGTAATTTAATTGGTGATTGCATTGACTGATAATAGTTCTACCAACGCATACAATTCGGTGCAATAAATTTATCTGCCTGCCCTTGTACTTTGAAAGAAAAACATGAAAATAAGAAGGAATATATTATGCTAGATATAAACTCGAAAATTTATAAGTGCCTTTTAAAATGATTCTTTGAGAGTAACCTGTGCTCCAATTTTAAGGTCTCATTTTGTTGAAGATGGGCAGTGGCGTGGCACAAACGCCATCACAACGAACTGCTTTCAAGATACCCCACAGAACATGTTACTTCCTAGTCTAATTTCAACAGAATCAGACCTTAAAATAAGGACCGCCGCAAACAATTGCATAAAAGGACAATAATGCAGAGTCCCTAATAATATACATCAACTAAAGAATCCTTAAGACCTGTAGAAGTTCTCACAGCGGTTTTTATATAGAGTCGAAGGATAAGCCGAGCAAGATACCAGCGTGAAAGCAGGTGGCAAGCAGTGCTTTCACGCTGGTATCTTGCTCGGCATATTGTTCGAGCCTGAAGATGGAGCCGATATGTTTCTCCGAAACGTCGATTGAATTTCAAGGGACTACATGGCGTTTTATCCCAGAAGGTAACACTTATCATTGTAAGATCTAATCAGCAACAGATCTATTGTCAACACAGGCATCCAGGAAGAAACACAACGTAGGTCAATAATATACCCTCAACGCAGTTCTTTCAGCAGAATAATTACGTACATCGCCTATAAAGAAGTGTGTTACAGATATAACATTGGAATCTTCTAAAACAGGGCCCAATCACTTCCACGCCATAAACTAAATGTACGTATTTTAACCACACCTCTCCAACAAAAATACACCCCACCTTATCTCCTCGACTTTATGTATTCTACATTCCTCCCGAAAAATCCCCCAACATCTTATAAGCGATTTTTACACAATTTCTTTATTAGTGAGTTTTAAATTTAGTACGTACGTGTTACTGGATCCGGGATAGCGCAGTCGGTATAGCGAATGGCTACGGGCTGGACGACTGAGGAGTTCGAAGTTCAAGTCAAGAATCTTCCGTTCTCCATGTCGTCCAGACCGGCTCTGGGTCCCACCCAATCTCCTATCCAAAGGGTACCGGGGGCTTTTTCTCGGGTGTAAAGCGGCCGGGGCGTGAAGCTGACCACTCACGTCCAGCTAGTGCAGAGGTCAAGAAAATGCGTATCTATACATTTACTCCCCCATACGCCTTCATGGTGTAGTGCTTAATTAATTAAGCACAGTGACAACTTTACCTTACCAAGGGGCAGTGGATTGACAAATTTTAATTAAACTCCACGATATAAGATTTTTTGAACATCCATTCAGTGGTTCTCCAGTTATTTTATCTAGAGACAGAAAGACGGCCAGGGTGGGTTTAACAAGTCCTGCTGGAATGGGAACAAGTAGAAGAAGAAAAAAGGGCAATTAATATTTACGAAGAAGGTAAAAGGAGATGTTGTGCAAAGAACGGTTGCTACCATTCAGTTCAGAATCATTACCATCCCATCCCGTATTAAAAAATCAACTGGAGCTTAAAACATACAGAACTACAATTTTAACTGATAGCTCAGTCAGCATAGTGACGGGCTCCGAGTTGGACGGCTGGGTTCCGATTTCCGGGAAGAACGAGAACATTTTCTCTACTTCAAAGTGTGCAGACCGGTTCTAGGGCCCACCCAGCCTCCCACGGCTGTTTCCCCGGGAGTAAAGCTGCTGGAGTGTGAAGCTGACCGCTCACCTCCATCTATTGCTGAGGTCAAGAATGGTAGAGCTATAACTCCACTCCCTCATACGCCTCCTTTGCCTGGTGCTTAATTAATTATGCAAAGGGACGGCCTTACCTTTTATAATTGTAGTTATTGTATATGGGTTTTAAACGTGATCTCATGCTAAGTGTGTCTGAGAACAAAGTGTTAAGGGAGGGAGGGGAGAGGGAAGCTACAGAAGGGAGTCCAAAATGATGTAACAAGGAGTTCCAAAGTTTGTATTCTGTACTACAGCATGTGTTACTGAGCGGATGGAATGAAAGCGAGTAGGACGAGCAAAATATATTGGGGTCAGCAAGGAGGTCAAAACAGGCATCTCCCCCCCCCCACACTCAGGATTTCTGGAATCAAATTGAAATTGAAGGGGAAAAGAGGGAAGTATAACAAATATTATTAACATGATTTAAAAGTATTCTAAAAATATTCTTCTACCCCAATGTAGGGTAATCAGTAAAAATAGTCTTAAAATGTCCTAAATGTAAATCTATTCCCATATTTTCTGGATCTCCCCCTTGGAAGGAATTCTGGCAGTGTCCATGATTTGTACCCCTGGATTTATTCTTCGTTTGCGTAAGCGATCAAAATGTTTTCTGCAGTGTATACATTTCCTCCTTCCTCCTCCTCCTGTATATTTACCATCGCCATCGCCACCACCACTGCCACTGCCACCACCACTGGCATCTTCTTCTCTTTCATGTTAGTACTTGAGTCAGTACCTGGCCACCTTCTGATTTACTGAGGTATTCTGAATCATACACTAGCAGATGACTGATATCCTTACATAATGGGTCAGTTCAAATGCTATATACAAACATTTGGATATATGTTTTAATGGACTGATGTCTCAAATGCATACAAAAATTCTTCTTGCCAAGCAGTTTATGTCCATAAGTACAGATGCACTAGATATGATACTACATTCCAGCTTTGTTTTTGCTTGCAGGTCTGGGGGGGTGGAGTGAGGACCAGGCTAAGACACCTTGCCCTAACTGCGATGGTAGTGAGCACTGGCTGGAGCTGGTGGCATGCTCTGGGTCGACGCAAGGTACTGGATTCCCTTGCATTAGGCAGTTCTGAGCTAGCTCGTGTCCTCAGCACCTTTGACCTTACTGCTCTTGGTGTGGGAAGCACTCTGGGAGTTGGTGTATACGTACTTGCAGGAAATGTTTCCAAGAACATTGCAGGCCCAGCTGTGGTTGTGTCCTTCCTGATAGCAGCTGTTGCATCTCTATTTGCAGGTAATTAACATTGTTTCAACTGAATAAACTTTGAAAATGTCTCATATTCAGCTCAGTAGTACTTATTCTTTCACACAACTTTAACAATTTAATTACTAACTTGGGAAAACAGATACTAGAGGTATCTGAAAATGAAGTTTTATATAGTATTCAGTCATAAGAGTAAAAATGTGTTAATGCTGGCTTTAAAATAAAATAGGTTAGCATTTCAGTTTTGATTTCTTTCCAAAATTTCTGGGTTGGGGGGGGGGGATAACTGCTTGCCTCTTCCTCTCTGCAGCCCCCATGGAAAGCAGGACAGATATTTGTATACAAAATGCATCATTTAATGCCACCTTAATGATGCATTTTCCTGTTTTAGTTGAACTTCAAGGACTAATGCCTGCAGACGGTGAGACTTGCAAGCTGGAAACTAACGTACCTATGTGATGAGTTTCCTTTATATTCTGTGACATCAGTCGTTACTTTGTTTTAGGATTGTGTTATGCAGAATTTGGAGCAAGGGTTCCTCGAGCAGGATCTGCATATATCTATAGTTATGTTTGTGTGGGGGAATTTGTAGCATTCATCATTGGATGGAATCTCATTCTAGAATATGTAATAGGTAAGTTCAGTTTTTATTCTCTAAAACTTCATGAAATTACTATGCTGAACACACAGTATATGCATTGATCACCTGTGGAAATATTAAACAGTGTAATATGATAAATATTTAACAAATTAAAATGTCAAGTGTGAACATTACCTAAAGAAAATTTGGAACTAAGCATTTTAATATAAGTTATTGTTCATAATTTGAAAGAAACTGCAATTAATACCATTAAAAGGAACTCCAAAAGGTCCGTGCTTTTCATTTGTTGCAAACTTCTATACCTTCTTGTCAGATTATTTAAATATTATCACGTGTTTGAGTTACTAGACGGGGTTTGGTTTGGTGACTAGATTTATTGACCACTTATAAACACAACTCATAACTACAAGTGACTGTAACAGCCTCACTGGTTTACACACTGTAAAGATCACTATAACTGCAGCACAACATAAAGTCTTCTATGTCTTCACTAGTCCTTCCCTGGTAAAGGATCTTAACACTGTCCTCTGTTTACACCCTTACCGTCTGGCGAATATTCCACAACTGAATTTGTTATTTCAACTAACTGGGTCCCAGGCTGGCGGCCATCTCATACCAACCTTCTAGTCATAATATGTCAGCACAGATCAGCAGAAAACAGCGTGCATATTTGTTGTGGGAATTACCTAGCAACGGCCTCTGTTTGCAGAGTCACCACTTAACAACGGGTCTACATGCTATGATATTGACTGCCATGTTCCTTTGTATTTCAGGTTCTGCAAGTGTTGCAAGAGGTTTAAGCAAATATCTTGATTCTCTTCTTAATGAAACAATGGAACAAACGTTTCTTGAAACCATGCCAATGGCTACAGATTCCTTTGCACTATCACCTTATTTTGATATCTTTGCATTTGGAATATCATTCATTTTAGCAGGTATGCATTAACTAATTTATGAAATATACTGAACTGAATAAAAGTTCTTGATGCACAAACAAGATAGTACATTTTATTTCCTCCTATATATGCATAAAAAGAGTTTCTAGTGAACATGGATGTTATTAGACCATTTCATCATATATAATTCCTCACACAGCTAACAAGAACTTTTCTTCTTCTTTCTAGAGGGGGGAGTGACATTGAAGAAAGAGGATTGAAGTCATTAACGCCATTAGCATTAAATTTCAAGAACTTACCACCACTGTGTGTATGGTTAGCTGTTATTAATTTAACTTGGTCACTTTGAGGGATGAGGCTGTTACTAATTGGTTAGGAGGCTGGGTGAGCCCCATTGCCAGTTAGGACACTGTGGAGAAGAAGATCACCCTGCTGGTAGTTGAACTCTGATTCCTCACTCTCTAGTGTAGTGGCTGTACTGATGGGGCTATCATGACTCCCCTTCAACAACAGTTGCTTAAGAAGCCTGAAGAATGATGAAAAGTGAAACATTGCTTGTGCAATATTTTGTTATTGATTTATGTTTTATATACACACCAAACTTTTGTAAACTGAAATTTTATCCTAACTGAAAAATGCAACTAGAATTTTAATAGGAGTGGTAACATTGTCAATTGAAATTTTGATTAACAAGTTTAGAAAATACTGGGACAGGGAAACCTAAAATAAAGTCTGCAAGGGATAAAAAATAACAGCTTGCTGAGTGTGTCCATACTGTATATAAAATAGCCTTAAAATATTACATCTGCTTGAAAGAGGAATGGCTACTAATTTTTTCTTTAAAAATGTTTTCCTAATTCTGTGTGTTTCAGTTGCACTTTCCTTGGGTGTTAAGGAATCATCTTTAGTAAACAGCCTATTTACCATAGTAAATATCGCTGTTGTTCTGTTTGTAATCCTTGCTGGTTCATTCAAAGGTAAGTTGGCTACATTGTAATTCCCATGACAGCCAGTTATGATTATTTTTATCTAAACCTTTCATTAGAAGAGAAATAACTGAAACAGAATGAGACACATTCAGAATGACTGTCACTATACATGTGAGGTGTACAAGCAAGGACCTTGCACTTTATTTGCCCAAAATGGAGAGGTTACAGACCCATTGGAAGCTGATATCAACTCATAACAGCACTTGGCACAATGCATCTGTAAACAGCATTCACTGGCCAGAAACATCGCCAGTTGTATGTTTAATTTGCAAGTCACATTCTTTTATGACGATCCTGGCTAAACTTAGATTATTTGGCTTTGCTTCCACATGCATTGACATCTGATGCACAAATGAAGGTCTTACAACAGTGCAACATTTTTCCACCAATACTGGGGCTTGCTATGTCACATGCAGGTAGACTCAGTGGTCATCAGATCCTAGTGGGAGAGTTACAGATTCTGCATTTTCTGTGATCATTATGATTCAGTACAGTAATTGATGTTCTACAGTATTTGTGGAATTTTAAACTATCCTATGTGATTAGATGTAAAAATAGAAGTTGTGGCTAAAAGTTACAGAGCCCATAGTAAAAGTAAAAAGTAAAGTAAAGCTATCCCTGTTACAGGCCGTGAAGGCCCATAGTGTTGTGAGACGTTGAGGGTCCCACATCATCTAGATAATCGGCTCTAAGGTTGTCAGCCTTATGCGCTGGCCGCGCTTTACTCCCCAGGAAAATGATTTAATTAATTCCTGGTACTCATTTCTGTTAGAGGTTGAGTTAACCCCAGGGCCACATTATGGCTGGAAGGATTAGGTCAATTGAAAAAATCCAGTGACCTCATCTGGTTTGTAGCACAGTGCCTCAACCAACTACGCTACTGCATGCCCCCTACAGAGCCTGTACTTCATAAGAAAATGTGTATGCATGTACAGGCTGTCCCATGAGGAAAGGTCAATATTCTGGGAGATAATTGTATCGATCATTCTAAGCAAAATATGTATATGTATATGTATACGTTACTGAACATTTTTCGTAATGTTTTACATACCACATGGGAAACTGCTGTGTTAGGAGAAATATTTCTTTCATAGTATGGAGAGGGTTAAGGACAGGTTAAACTATATTTTACTAGAAGAATCTGTAAAAGGTAAATTATAAAGGGTGATTGGGATTAGCTCTTTCTAAGAGGCCCAACTGCGTAGGTGTCTTGCCCCCTCACTTGAGGATGGAAACGAATCTAGTTTCTGGAATGTCATGTTTTCTATTTTCTTGAATAACAGGCAATGGAAAATGTCCAAAAATCCAGTAATTCTGTGTGTAAAAGGTAGTTTAAAATAATTTGAGATATGCATTTATTTCTGTTCGCAGCTGATTCAAAGAACTGGGCTATAAAGAAAGAAGACATTATCACCGATAGTCCTCAGGGTGGAGGAGAGGGAGGATTTTTTCCTTTTGGTGTCAGTGGTGCTATAAAAGGAGCTGCCACCTGCTTCTATGGCTTTGTTGGTTTCGATTGTGTAGCCACTACAGGTAAAATTGGGTCTCATGTTTTGCCGTATAACTCTAAAATTTCAATTTTTAATCTTTACAGTTTAAAGCTGACAGAACTTTCTCATAACAAACATGTGAGTGCTGGCTGATAAATATTAATTTATTTCTCTTTTACAATGTCCAGACTGGCTGTGGTGACAATACAGCCTCTTAGCCTACGGGTTTCAGGGGTCTTTTTACGCTGGTGGTAAAGTGGCTTGTTCATGAAAGCTAATCCCTCATTACCCTCTCTTTTTGAGGTTGAGAATGCATAGGTCTCTATACCTTCATTATCCAGTATGTCTTCATGATATAGTGCAGAGGAATAAATTTATCTGTACCATTAGATATAATCCGTAAGCACGTGCTCTGAGCAGCACCACTGATATGATGTACATTTTCACTAATATTTTTCTTGTTCCAAAAAGAATAGCTTGTGCTTGTGTTTTATTTACTTCACTTTATTGATTTTCTGGCTAAGCTTCTTATGCTGATTTTTTTCTTTCCATACTGCAGGTGAAGAAGTGAGGAACCCCCAGAAAGCAATCCCAATTGCTATCATTTTGTCCCTCACCATTATCTTCCTCTCCTATTTTGGAGTTTCAACTGTCCTGACTCTCATGTGGCCATATTATTTACAGGTGAGATAATGCAAATTATGATTAGAATCATCCCTTGTTTTATGAAGGTTCTTCAAATGAAACTTAATTAGGGATTATTCTGAGTGAAGCAGATGAGACCATTAATAAAAATAGTCAATATGAGCACTATTCTGTTTGCTCCAATTAACAAAAATAAGCTCTGTGGTTTTAGTCCACAAGCGAACTATACTGACTGAGTGACTCCCGCTTGTCGGCGAAGTTAATGCCAACTTTAGCAGATAGAGGATGTCGTGTGGTCAGCGCAATGAATTCCCATGGCTGTTAATTTCGGTTTTCTAGACTGGAGCTGCTGTTTCCTTGAAATAGCTCCTCAGTTATCCTCATGAGGCTGAGTGGGCCCCATTCCAGACCCGCTGCTTCTCAGAAAATCTTGTAGCGCCGGGAATCGAACCCGGACTTCTGGATGTGTAGCCAGAAACTTTGATGACTAGACCACAGAGGCGGCCACTGTTTGCTCCAATTGCCAATTGTTTTGCATGGCTTGAGGTTAATCTCTGCTTTGTCATGCACACAGCCACATGATCACATCCATTGCAAACAAATTTAATTTGAACCGTCCTCATGTACTGGTGGGATGTGAGGTTCTGAGAGCAGATATTATGAAGAGTGTCATCCTCTGGGATGTGACTCTATGTAGTTTGGAAGATTTTACAAGTGTTTGAAAAAAGATGGTCTATCTCCAACTTCAAGGCAGAAGAGTAAGATGAGAGTGGACAAACTGATATGGATAGAGGAAGAAAGAGAGCCAGGACCTTGACCAAATGAAGTAGAGTAAGAAATGTGAAAGAATGTGAGGCCTCTCCCCTTATTTCTATACCTTTTTTTTTCGATGCTTAGCTTACTTGTCTCTCCTGAAGATTGATGCTACAGGTTTTTCCAGAATGATGGTAACTTTAGCAGACTATATGGTGCCACAGCCAAGAATACAATACTTTTCATTAGGTTTTAGTGTATATAACTTTCTCAGCCTGCAAGCTGTTTTTGAGAAATATTATGTTTGGGCCTTCATAAATTACTGAAATTCAATGAAAATCATTAGTCATTTTTGAGAAAATCACAATTTTCTGTTAGGGGACACCTGTGAAAATCCTCTATTTTTGGAGCTATGGTGTTCATATCCACTGGGCGTCGACTTACACAGGATGAACTCTTAAAAACTAAATATGAATAAAATCTTTCCAACCGTTCAAGCACTAGCAGGGCACACACATGTGAATATGTCTGTATATGTACTCATTTTTAATAATGGACTACGTCTATATCTGTGGTGACTTGTTATCACCTGTATGATTACTTGAAGTATCAATAAATTAAATTAAAATTAAAAAAATGTGTACATGAAAACATATGCAAACAGATGACATTACAAAATTCACATTCTCACATTCAGGGGTGCTGAAATAGTGTAAATCCATAAACATCTCTAGATCCGTTATTTTCACACTAACAGTACTTTCTCTTACTACGTACAGTACATAAGAAAGCAAAAGTTCAGAATGAGAAGAGGAGATTATGAAAATATTGATATACATTTTACCTTCAATAAGCTTTTACTGTTCTTTAATTAAGCCATGCATTGGTTCACACATTCATTATTATTTATTCCACAACTGACAGTCATTTTTTTACTGACTGTGAATCTATGGAATATATGTAGGTGCATATGTATGTGTGTGTGTGTGTACGTACGCACATGGCCACACCATAGCTCAAGCGGTTAGTCACTGGCTTCCCACTGCGGTGGCCCGGGTCCGATCCCGAGTCTGGTCAAGTGGGATCTGTGGTGGACAAAGTGGCGCTGGGGCAGGTTGTCTCCGAGTACTTTGGTTTCCCCTGCCAATCTTCATTCCACCAATTGCTCCACAATCACCCTCACCTATCATCTGGGGCTGGTACAACAGGCCAGAAGTGGCCACAGTACAAAGGACTTAGACCCACCCCACTAGCAACAAAAAAAATAATATGTATGTATACAATCATTTGTTCATTCATTCCAGACATCATTTAATTGCCTTTTCTTGTATCTGTCAAGTTAATTCTGAATTCAAGAGATATTACATGTTAAAATAAGCAAATAATCAATTAATTAGTTCTGTACTATAAGCCTGTAATAATATTTTAACATGCACAGGATTCTGATGCCCCAATTCCGAAGGTGTTTCTTGAGACAGGCTGGCCTGTTGCACAGTGGATAGTAACAATAGGAGGAATATTCGGGCTGTGTGCAAGGTATGTGGGTTGAAATAGAAGGAATGTAATGTCTTTTATGTTGAATGTTACCTTCTGGGATGTAATGCCGTGTAGTCTACTGAAAATCGGCTGACCTTTTGGAGGAATATGCCGCTTCCCTCTTCAGGGTTGAAGAATAAGCCAAGCAAGAAACCAGTATGAAGCACTTAACATTCTGTTATACCCTAGAAGATAGAATTCTTCATAATCATCGCCATGAGAACTTAAACGTTTTAATGTTACTTTTAAATATCTTACATGGCTTCCTATTTTATTCTCCTTCTTCTCTTTGTGGATTGGGCTTAGGACTCTGCCTGATGTCATAGCCATATTTTGAACACTTAAGATAAACATAAAAATTAGAATATACAAAACTATAATTTTGCCTATGATTCTGTATGGGTGTGAAATTTGGTCTCTGACATTAAGGGAGGAACATAGACTGAGGGTGTTTACGAATAGGGTGCTAAGGAGAATATTTGGATTGAAGAGGGATGAAGTGACAGAAGGTTGGAGAAATCTGCATAATAAGGAGCTTCATAACTTGTACTCTTCTCCAAGTATAATTAGAATGATCAAGTCAAGAAGGATGAGGTGGGCAGGGCATGTAGCACGAATGGGGGAGACGAGGAATGCGAATAGGATATTGGTGGGAAAGCCAGAAGGAAAGAGACCACAGGGAAGACCAAGGCGTAGGTGGGTGGACAATATTAAAATGGATCTCAGAGAGATAGGATGGGATGGTATGGATTGGATTGATCTGGCTCAGGATATGGACCAGTGGAGGGCTCTTGTGAACACGGTAATGAACCTTCGGATTCCATAAAATGCTGGAAAATTTGAGTAGCTGCAGAATTGGCTGCTCCTCCAGAAGGGCTCAGCTCCATGAGTAAGTAAGTAAATTAAGTATTGTTTTTTTTAATTGCTAGTGGGGTGGGACTAAGTCCCTTGTACTTCGGCCACTTCTGGCCTATTGTACCAGTCCCAGATGATAGGTGAGGGTGATTGTGGAGCAATTGGTAGAATGAAGATTGGCAGGGAAAACCGAAGTACTTGGAGAAAACCTGCCCCTGCGCCACTTTGTCCACTACAAATCCCACTTGACCAGACTTGGGATTGAAACTGGGCCGCCACGGTGGGAAGCCAGCAGCTAACTGCTTGAGCTTGGCGCGGCCCAAGTAAGTAAGTAAGTAAGATTTGATTTTCTTGTTGTGATCAACATGAAGGTTGTGGTGTTCTTAGATTATGACACTAGATTTAGGTAGACAGGTACGAACATTTTGGAAGAATCATCTGCCTCCATGTTCAGATTCCTCTACTCTGTATACAGAAGTTTCCTCTAAAACGACGGTATCTTTCTATCCAGGTGTATGGTGTCACATCTCAGAAGACGATAATCTTTGTATTTTGGATAGTCTCCCACAATTGCTGTATAAATTCAGCCACTTTTCACTTAATAGCAATATTAACAATTTTGTGTATTTAAGCTGTATATTTTTATGCTTTCTTCTGCTTGTGATTTGTGTAATGGATGGTTTACTTATCCAACAGAAAGTTTGTGTATTGTGCACTAGAGTCATCTCAGGCAATCAGATATGTTAAAATTCTGTTAAATGTCAATGTTTTGGAGGCATGCTCTGTCTCCATCATCAGGGTCAATATTAATGCAGTTAATCACTCAAGAAGAAACTAGTACATTCATTCACCATGAAAGCTTCAGGTCTTGTGCAGTGTGCACTGTGATTACTGCTATATTAATTGGTTACATAAATTTTTATCTTTTATCAGGAAGGTGCAAGAGACATTTTTTCATACTTCATTTGTCTGTCTCATAGGTGCTACTGTTCATGTCTCTGGATATTTCTATTTACCTACACTTTTCTGTTGCAGTCTATTTGGAGCAATGTTCCCTCTGCCTCGAATCATTTATGCAATGGCTATGGATGGACTTATATTCCAATTCCTAGGGAAAGTCCACCACTACTTCAAGACACCTTTTTATGGCACACTAATAGCTGGTCTATTAACAGGTTTGTCATAATAAGTAGCAGCTTCTAAAGAAATAGGGTGTTGACTGGATTCATATGGCTCAGGACAGGGATTAGTGGTGTGCTGTTGTGAAAAGTGTAATGAACCTTCAGGTTCCACAAAAAACAGGAACTTTCTTTAACTTTTCTTTAACTTTTATTTTCAATTTTAATTATTACACTTAATTCAGTTAAGTGGAGAACTTTTCCATTTTCTCTCCCCTGTATGAAATAAAATAACAATGTTCAGGCATGGGATTTTTAAAATGACATATATGTGGAATTTGAGTTTCTCATAGCAGTGAGAATCTAGATTATGGTATTTTGAGATGTTCAGCTATGTAGTGTGATATACAGGTACAAACATTCTGATGGAACCTGCTATCTCAATCTTATGTTCTTAAGACAGCATCAAACAGAATATTACCACATGTTAGTGACTAGGTACACGGTTTGGATTGATAATTGGATTTATTGAACGTTTATAACTCATAATGTAAATAATTGTAACGCTTTCACTAATCCACACACTCTACAAATCACTACTGCAAACATTAAGTTTTTGATGTCTTCACTAGTTTTCTTGGTTATGGTCTCGTGGGATGAGACACTCTGCAGCTCATTATGTAGGTATCAGTGTTACTGAGGAATCTGTTCTCTCCGCCTTCAAGCTAGGAGATCAAGGCAGTAGCTCCTCAGAAATATTGGTACCTCTCTACCAAATTGCATGATGTAACATCCTAGAATACTGTCATCTCAATTGGCTTATGCTGGTGCTTTATTTCCTACATTCTTACATTTGATACACTGCATTTGGCACTAAGTATTGTGATGTGTATTCCAATTGCTAGGTAACGGGTCAGTAAACACGTTCTTGCAACAAACACACTCAACAATAAAAGGACATCAATTGCTAGCTAATGGAACAGTAAACTCGCATTCTTGACAATAGAAAACGATGATTTCTGTGGGGTCTGTGGAAAGTGGTTATAAGAAATGTTCGGCGGAACAGCAGTAGGAGGACAGACCCAGCCTCTCATCAGAGAGGGTGCCCCACATAAACAAAACCATAACTGTCAAACAGTAATAAATATCTGGCCATGAGTCCCAGAATGAATCCCAGATGGGGCTCGACACCAAGACTTACTGACTTACTGGCTGACTGTCAGTCGCAATGTGAATTTGACGTTGAGCAGTAAACAGAGCAGAGTAGCTGGAGTATAGACAGTAGTTGAGAGAACTGAGTCATGCTCTGGAGATGGCAATAGAAGGTGACTGAGAAGAAAAGGCAAGAAAGGAATTAGAACGTGACAAGACGACTTCACGTGTGGTTTGAAGTTACATTGAGACTGTGATAGTTATTTAGTTAGTTATTTAGAGAGGGTGGGTTTCCCCATGCACTGCGACCAGTTTGATCTACTGTGCTTCCCTCTATGATATTCTACCAGTCTCTTTACCCTACCGATAAATGGTGCGTACCATCAGTTTCGCCGAGCAAACGAGTTCGGCCACTTGCTTAGCGGTGTCTATAATGCTTCCCCCATCTATCAGAGGCCTTAGAGACTATTGTTGGGCGGGAAACGTCCTGGAATTTGGCTCAGTGATCCCCTTTGGGGATATGAGGTTCTTTTACGTGCCGTAAAGTTATGACACGGGACACACAGCTTAAAGTCCCTCCCGGAGGACTTGTTCCCTGAATTTTTCCGCCCTTAAAAATTCGACGACCTCCGCCAGGTATTTGAACCTGTGTACCACGAGTCATGAGGTGGGAATGTTACCTCTAGACTACGGAGGCCGCTGAGACTGTGATAAATCCAGTGCCAGGATATTAATAATTAGGACAGAGAATCTTAATGCATGTGCAACAGTGAACTGTAAAGTATATCAGGGACAGCACTGTATTGCCTGTAGTCCCGAGTTGTGTGAATGTGTAAGATCCAAAACCCTGTCTTATAAGTCACCCCTACATGTGGCAGTGTAAATGAAATGATGGAATAGCAATGAGGCATGCATTTTGTAATTGTAGAGTTCAGTACATAATTATTGAAGTTCTTTTCATTTCCTTATAGGTTTAATGGCAGCAATTTTTGACCTTGATCAGCTGGTGAATATGATGTCAATTGGAACTCTTCTTGCATACACTATTGTAGCTGCCTGTGTCTTGCTTCTTCGGTAAGTTGCTTCTTATGGCAATAAATGTTTGCAGTAATTTTCTTAATGATGATATCCTGGCAAAAATCCTATAAATATATCTGGGTCAAATTGTGACAGGAATTAATGAGGCCAAAATTTATGGGGCACAAATATTTTTCATTAAACTCAACAAAGATGGTGAATATGCAACAGCATACATTTCAAGTTAAAACTTGTACAAGATATAGGTGGATTCCGTTGTGCAGGTCACACGGTCTGAACAGTTTTCGTGCACAGAGAGATCCAGCTGCTTTTTCTTCACTTTGAATTCAATTCAGGATAATATTTCATTAACATAAAAGTATAAGATTAGAGGCCTTGAGTGTGGTGAGTATCTGGAACATGATGTCATGTAGTTCTATCTGTAGGCTCCAATATTCTGGAAGACAAAATTTGTATGGCTGTGAGATATAGGATATAGCAGCTTTGATCCTGGTTCTGTCCTTCTTGTACCATTCTTTTCCACTGTGGTTTACTCAGGATGATCTGTAATGTTGGTTCCTATTTACCAAGCTGCATGGCATCACACCTCAGAAGTCCATAATCTTAGCAAGAAATACATGCCTATCTCTTTATTTGAATAATTAGAATTACTTTTATAATAAACAGCAAAGAGGATGAATTGTTAGAAAATAATATATGTGTGGTGGAGTTATAGATTTTGTTCCTGAATCCAGTTTCTTTGCATGTATGTCAATTCTAACTCAGGTACAAAGCTGATGTCCACGAGGAAACTGAAGGTTATGCATTGCTTCCATCAGATGGGAAGGATAATGGAGAGGAGACTGTGTAAGAACTCAACAGTTCTTTTAATTTCTGCTCTCTGATTGCTTGTAGTGGGAAGTACAGGTGGCAGGAATTGAACTAATATTCCCAGTTGCTCTGCAGAATGTATATGCATGACAGTTTTCATCCTCTGTTATTCAAGTTTTCAAACTGACTAATATTCCAGTGATCATATTTGTATGTGTAAAATACGCTTTTATGAAGAATTTCTATACAACACCCCCTGCATTATGGACAGGATATGTTCTCGAGGATGTACCAATATTGTGAAATTCTGAACTGCAAACCATATTTATCCATTGACTTCAATGTTGTAAACTCAGTTGTGTGCCTACAAAAATTTCTTTGGTTCACAGTTGTAATAAAAAAACACTCTTTTTTACACATCAGACGTTTTAGCAGGCTTACGATTTCTATGTTCCTTTAGTTCTGCTGCTTGCATTTGAACTTAGAACAAGCCCTGACATCTTAAATAAGAGTAATACTGTTATAATGGGTATAGCAGTCCCCCTATATCACTGTCACATGTACACAGATAGCCAGTAGTAAGCTTCATATCCTACTGCTTCAAATCAATGCAAGCACATATGCAAAATTTCTTAGCAAATTATCAATTCCCAAAACATAGTTTTGGCCGAATTTTATTTACATTTCTTTCTTTAAAAACTGTTTACTGCTAACATGCATAATTACAGATTTATGGTCCATACTGCGAATTTTATGGTCGCATTTTATAATACACCTAAAAGGGTGAAATTGTACTCTTCTCCAAGTATAATTAGAATCATCAAGTCAAGGAGGATGAGGTTGGCAGGTCATATAGCACGAATGGGGAAGACAAGGAATGTGTATAGGATATTGGTGGGAAAGCCAGAGGGAAAGAGACCACAGGGAAGACCAAGGCATAGGTGGGCGGACAATATTAGAATGGAACTCAGAGAGAGATAGGATGGGATGGTATAGATTGGATAGATCTGGCTCAGGATAGTGACCAGTGGAGGGCTCTTGTGAACACGGTAATGAACCTTTGGGTTCAATAAAATGCTGGGAAATTCTTGAGTAGTTACAGAATTGGTGGTTCCTCCAGAAGGGCTCAGCTCCATGAGTAAGTAAGTAAGTAAGTAAAAGGGTGAAATTTCGTAACCCAAATACCGGTAACACTGGGGCACACTGCAGTTTTAAATTGTATGATGCAGTGCTGATTTCTTTCTTCACTGCTGACACTTTTCCATATGTTTTTATGAATTTCCATATTAATATTATTCAGCTGCTTTAATGATTCTGTTTTGACATTGTAGCTTCTTTAGAGAGAAAAAGAGCTTTAAAATGAAATATCATTATGATGTATACTCCACTATATGGTTGATGTATAATATACTGTGTATTACTTACCTTTCCAGAGGGTAATATTATCTGTGTGGGAATACATAAGTTTTAGTGTGTATCTGTGAGGCACACATAAGAGAAGTTCGCAAAATAATATGGTTTAGGTCTAGAATTCTATTTTTATGGATTTTGTATTGATTATCTGTTTGAAGGTGCTGAAACTTTGGATGGCAGTTAACATCATTTTTGGTAATTAAGTTTGGGAGCCACTGTTGTGGTTACATGAAGTAACAAAGATGACGTACTTTATTATTATTTTATGTTCTTCCAGTGGCTACAAAATTACTCACATGATGTACCTACTTTGTAGCTAAAACCGTATCTAATATTTCCCCTTCTGTGAGAAAATATATGGAATTTGTAAGTTGTCTGTGCTGAAACCTACGATATAGTATACATGTGCTGTTGGAAATCTGATGACTAATTGGTATCATTCTGGCAATCAGATTATGTTAGTTCTGACTGTGAAATTTCTTTCATGAAACTGAATTAGGCACCGCTGAATGTATATATTAAAATATTTTATTATTTAAAAGTTGCAGCAATGACAGATTCACTATGGCACGGTTATGATGATATTGCCTTTGTGTTATGCGTGTTTAGTATAAGAAGAGATTTTCTCACTTCCTTAAAATTATCCAGTAACTTGCTAGATAATCCCACCATAATTTAGCTGAACACAAGTGATTAAATGAAAGCCATGGACAGCAAGAGTACGTTGGAATTGAGTAGTATTTTTATTAATTGTTTGATACATGTTGATCATCTTTGGTCATTCTATTACATTATATTATTATGTAACTCCAAAATCATTTATCTTAGCATTACCTTCTTTAGTCAGTTATATCAGAAGGATTATATGTGCTGCATATAATATAATGTACATATGTGTATTCAAAAACTTGTAGAATTTAACTTTATTCTCTTACTAACAAACAGCATAAAGCCCACTGAAATTTCAGTGAAACTTAATTTCAGTAATCTGAAAAGTTTCAGAAAGACATGTACATTTACACTATGATACTAAACTTGATAGAATAACAATATGGACTCTGTAATGCTGCTAACTACAGAATTTCTTTTGGCAAAGGTGGACATTGTAATATCTACTCAGACTTTCCTTAGGAGCATGCAGTAGCATAGTTGGTTAAGGCACTATACTACAAGCTGGAATGTTGCAGGTTTGATTCCTCATCATTTGATGAAGAGTTTTCATTTGAACTTCCAGCCACACTATGACCCTGGGGTCAACTCAGCTTCTGACAGAAATGAGTAGAAGGAACCTTTCTGGAGGTAAAGGGCAGCTTGTGTAAGGCTGAAACCTCACCACCATCTCAGATGATTGTCTAAAAAATGTGGGAACCTCGATGTCCCAGAATGCTATTGGCCTCCATAACCTGTTACAGGGATAGCTTTACTTTCTTTTTTACTCAAGCATCCCTTCCACTGGTATTATCTGATGGGTCTATTCATAATAACTTGCTGACATACATGATGACAGAACAATGATAGAAGAGTAAGCCTTAAACTTCTCTATATCTTCCTACTAACTACATTTCTTTCAGATACACAGACCTTGAACTCTGTGGAGGTAGTGACATTGTAAGTTCAGAGTACATTGAATCAACAAACCTGGTCACTCTTAAGGAGCCTGTAACGTTTGGAACAGTCTCAAGGCAGCTGTTTAATCCATTCAGAAAGAAGCATCCAACATTTCTGTCATCAAGTGTTGTCACTGTAGAAGTTCTGGTGTTTGGTAAGTCAAAATATTGTGACTTCCTTGAGGCACATAAAGATGGCTGATCTCTGTCTTAATTTTTGGGTGCATTGTCCCTTTCTATAGTTATCTGAATGTTTCATAGAACAGCCTTCATGTTGCTGAACACATCCACATCATACCACTGTGCAAGTTGGCTCCAGCCATCATTCCATTTATATTTAGCAGGTGTCTGGTTTGGCTTGCTGAGGTTTCTCGTGATTTCCTTCCACCTCTCTGCACCCTAAGGCCTATAAAAGAGGGGACTTTATTGATTATTAATTAACTGATTTATTGATTAGTAGTTTTGTGTTTGTGAGATTCATGGTTCTTGCAGCAGTGAATGTGAATATTGTCGTCTTCTGGGAAGTGATGCCATGTAGACTGGTAGAAATATACCAATATGCTAACGAACCTGCTGTCTCCATCTTCAGTATAGAAGAGTAAGCCGTGTGGGAAAATGAAGGCACAGATATAGGGAAACGAGGAAAGGAAATGGGACAGTGTAAAACTTTGGCCCTTAAAAGGGCGGGGCAAAACATTGAGTGGAAGGAGGTCAGTAAAAATGTGTTAAGGAGGAAAATTGCTTTCAAGGATGAATTGCAGAGGGGAATTTTTCATGGTGCACTGTTATATGAGGATTATTGAGGCACCAAGTAGAGTTCATAGAGTTCGGTCCACAGAATCCAGATAAAGGAAGGGCAGCTATGTTGAACACCAATGTATCTGTGCATTGACAGCTGAGAAGTGAATGAGACAAAGGAAGAGGGGAAGGAGAGAGTCAATCCATGCTGTGGAACTTTGGGAACTGAAACTGAGGCCTGAAACAAAGCAGGTAAATGATGGAAATGGTGATGCAGTCTTATTAATTTCATGCAGGTATACTGTCTACATTATTGGGCCTGTGTGTTGTTTTCTGGGAACGTGATTTGGCAGACCTCAATCCTTGGGCTCTTTCTGTGACCTCTGTCATAGGTGGCATATTGGTTCTCATCTTGCTGTCAGTCAGTTTGCAGCCACCTTCTTCTAAGCCTCTCTCCTTCAAGGTAAAACAGTCACTTTGCTACATACTTCATTATACTACAAACAAAGGCTACCGAGAGGGATCATGTAACAATATTACTATTGAACTGTATTAAAGATGTGCTCAGTTTGAACATTAGCCAGGATACCATCCATCCTGACTGAAGCTTTTCTTGGTTTTCCTCAGACTTTAGACCACAGCTACTTCCTTCCAAATCCTTTTCTATTCATCATTCATCTTACATCCTACCATCTTATGCTATACATTCTAGCTACTAATAGCAGCATAAAATAACCCACACAAAACAAAAAGAAAATTTAACCTTAGAATTATATGCAACAAATGTGACACAATGTCACGTTTCTCTCCTGTAACATGGCAATGAACTCCAAATTTAACTTACAGAAATTCAAAATAGTGACTGAATATGGCTGCACTTAACTTTGATTATTGTACCTGTAATTTGCTTGTTATTGTGAACAGACATATCCTTTCTAGTTAAAGCTAAATTTTCACACAGTTTAAATCTCACATCGCAATATAGACTACATAGGCTGCATTACTGATGACCTTATGGAATAATCAGAAATGTCTGATTTTGGTGCTACACACCCAAAATAAAAATTAAAATATTAAAATTAATCTTAAATAATTTTAGTATAATGTACATAAAAATTTAATTTTTATATTTTCGTTTTCATATATTTTGCAAAATGGATCTGACTTGAAACATATAATAGCCTTTACTAAATTATATTCTGCTTATAGTTTGATAGTTCTTGTATAAGTTGTAGGATAGAAGCATGTTATAAAATTGGCTGTTTTTTATAGGAATAAACTTTGTGCGACAGTTGTATAGTGGTACAAAATATAGTGGTGTATAGTGTCTCTTGAGCAGACAGGATGCACCACTATAAAACCATAATGAACTTTTCTTTCAATAGGTGCCTTTTGTGCCAGTGGTCCCTGCAGTGAGCATTGTGATAAACATTTATCTAATGCTTAGGCTGGATGGGAACACATGGATCCGATTTGGTGTATGGATGGCCATTGGTAAGTCCAGTCTCATGTTATTTGAAAACGCAACAGCTTAAGTGACTGAAATTTTGGTGAATGTAGAAATATGCATAAAGAAAATTGAAAGCTATTAGTATGTTTCTATATTCAAAATCTACATGCAGTACTTAAATGTGTATAAATACTACATGTTTTTGTTGTTGTTGTAATTATTTCAATTATTGTTATTGTTATAATTTCAAACTTACTTACTTGATCATCATCCATCATCGTTTTCAGTGTTAGGACAACTGAGAACTATCATGGATTTTGTGAAACAAAATCCTTCCATCGTTTGAGGTCTTCCAAAACTTCTTCACTGTTTTCAGTGTGGTCCTAGTTTACATAATGACTTGAGAGCAATTTGAAGTCCCATCAATTGGCTACTAGTCAAAGAGTGCCAGTTCAGTGGTACAGTTACTACAGTTAAGAGCCTGGACAGGCTCTGTGTTCCACATTTCCTTCAGCACTGGTTTAGCAGTTATCTTGCTATAATTCGGGTATCAGAACATCTTCAGTGCAAACAGGGCATGCCATGAGAATGTGAGGTTGGTGACTGGGTAGGAGAGTCTACAGAAGATGCATCCTATCCCTTGCCTTATTTTTATTTTGTATTTATGATAATTATTCTAACTTTCTAATAAGAAAGTAAAGGAGAGAAAGAAAAATTTACTGTTTGTTTAGTTGTGTAGTATTAGGACAGTGAAATCTATGAGATAAAAAGGATATTAGATGTAAGTACAGAATTTTGTTGGGAAAACTTCTTGGAAAATAGCTTCTTGGAAGAGTGAGCCTTCAGTATTAATGGTGTTGAACTTCCATTTTCTGAATGTTGATTGCAGTTAAATTATGTACATTTTGTTGTCATCTTGCCTGCTTGCTGTTTTGAGATCATGCATGGCTTTTTATTTGAATGAAGATACCAGAAAACACTGTAATAAAATTATGATTAATCAAGCCATGTCATAAATAAGATGTTGCAGAAAAAATTCAAGCAGTATTTGTATAGGCCGCAGCACAATTTTCAGACAGAAATTATAGAAAAAATAATTTTCTTGGAATATTATTTCAGGAGTATTACACCCTGTATTACTAATTATGAATATAATTTTTTTTAAATGAAGTGTGATTTCGAATATTTCGAATATAAGCCGCACCCCAGTTTTCCTCTTGAATTTTTGGCAAAAAATGTGCGGCCTATACATGCGTAAATACGGTATATTTAATGATGAAAAGACTTAACATTAATACACATAGTTTTTATACTTGTGTTTTATTTCAAGAGACATTAGTAGTAAATATAAATAAACATTACAATTTATGGAGCACATACATTTCAAAACAATATGGATATCATTAGGACTGGTTTATTTCTAATCCACTCATAGAAGAATCAAAGATCTATGTCCCATATTAATTTGTTCTTATATTCTGAAGGTACACAGTTCAAGTCTCAGCCAGGATACTTAGTATAGTGACAGAGGTTTTCATTGTTTTTCATAGCCTATCCAGGCAGATGTTGCAGCAGTGTCTTGAAACATACCATGACTGCATCTTCCCATATCTTCTGCAATTTATCATTCATAGATCATTTTAGCATTCAAACTGTATAGTCTGGACTACTGATAGCATTAAAGGTCACAGTACTAGGGCCACTTTTATGGCCCACCCCTCATATTTATACTGATAGCACTGTTAGATAAACCATAATATTAATCAAGTTCTTCCTTCAATTCCTCTACTCTTCTTCTTCTTCATTCCTTTTATTCCTTCTAGTCCTCTTCCTCATACTTTTCCTTCTTTGGTTTATTTGTCCTCCTCTTCTGTCTACTCCTCTTCTCCCCATTTACTCCTACCCTTCATTCTTCTCTCCTCCTCCTCCTTCTTCTCCTCCTCCTCCTTCTTCTCCTCCTCCTCCTCCTCCTCCTCCTCCTTCTTCTTCTTCTTCTTCTTCGAGTTTTAAGCCTGTGAAGCCTGTTCCTCCAACTCACAGTCAAGAAGTGGCCTTTCCATCCTTTCTGGGGTGATCTGTATTTTTTTAACCAGTAGATATGTAATACATTGCTAACTTCTGTGACCAGTCTTTCAACATCCTTTTACATTTTTATTTTTCCAGTTTTCCTAATCATCACCTATGTCTACCATTAATTTTTGAATCTGCAATTATCTGTACCTAAATTTCTAAATATGTTTATTCTCCCACAGACTAATTTATTTTATTTCCAGAGGTTTTGTTGTATTTCAACAAATTCATTTTTGTTTTATTTTCTTGAAGGTTTTGCTATTTATTTTCTATATGGCATGAAGAAAAGCAAAGCAACTTACTTGAATTGTTTGGTGAGAGAACTTCAACCTGCAAACAACCAGCTTATTGAAGAGCCTCTGTCATTTAGGATGGACAAAGGAAAAATTGAGCTTTCTGCAACCCAAGCCTCAGCTGATGAAACTGACTACAAGCATCCAAAGCAAAGCATCATGACAGAGCTAGACAGTCCAATGATAATCAGTGGGCTGAACAGTGATGTAATATTACAACATGATATCTTGAATCAAAATTTGGGATCTGAAATGCGTAACAGTGATCTTCAGAAATCATTGAACTACATTGATGATTTGGAAAGAATACTGGATTGTAATGCTGAACAGTATTATAACAGAAAAATTACAGCTACCAGTAATAGTGTTGATTATGTAATAGAACATGAAAGTAAAAATTCAACTATTACTCTTAATGCACCCCTACCCAGTACAGGTAAAAGCTCTGTTGTGAGTGAAGCTACTTTGTCTGTTGTGCCTGAGTTGTCTGCTTCTGTTATGTCATCTCCTGCAAATATTTCCTTACCCTCAGAACATATTCAAAACACTGGTGGTATAAACCACATGAAAAGATCACCCAGTAGTAGCAGTGCAAGAAACTTGTATCCAAATATGATAATTATTTCATATGATTCAGATGATGAAGTTACAGAACAAGAAAGAGAGGGAGTTTCAGGACAAAGTAAACATGAGGATAATACTGACACAGAAGAGACTAGGACAGTCACTTCTCAAACTTTCTTCCAGAGGAAATCAGTGTCTGAGGATCAAGAATATTTTGCTGCTCACAAACAAAATACAAATATGGAAAATCTAGGAACAAATGCAGAACTGAAAAAGCAATCACCNAGAATTAACAGTGAAAGATATGTTGACATTAAGAGCAAGACAGAACCGACCACACCAATCACACCAGACCCAAAATTTCTTCTCAGAATGGGAAGTTTAAAAACTTCAGACTTCGCTAGCAAATTGGAAACCATGTTGCAGGAGAAACTGTATGATGTGAAATATGACACAGGATATAAAAACCCAAAATTATTTACAAAGCATTCCACAAAGACTGAGAATGATGCAAACAAAGGGAAGCTGAAACATCACTGGAGTGTAGTTAATATAGATGTAAATGAACAGCGGAATGGAATGTCAGAAAACTGGAATAACTCAGTGGCAGGAGGTAACCTGATACAAAGTCAGGCAGATGAGCAATTAACTGAGAGAGAAACTGAGCTTGATGATATTAAAAGAAGACTTGAACAGCTTTATGCCAATCGTGCTGATGTGTCTGTATTACCAAGACCATTAAGTCATCCAAACCTTGTCTCTTTAGAAACTGAAAGTAATGAGATGAAACAGGAAAGTGATGGTACACAACTCAAATCAAAACAATTTACAGCAGAACCCTTACTTAATAGGACAAACACATTAAAAGTAAACAATGAAAATAATAATTTTGACACAGTCAGGAAACAAAGGTTATTGATGGGCGAGGTTCTTGCATCACTAAAATTTGTTGCAAGTAAAAATAGAGCTAATTTTGAATCTGATGCTGCTGAAGAAGATGAAGTATTTGAAGATTTAACATGACTTACAAAAGTTTCAGTTCATGTAGGCCAGTAAGTTGTTAACAGTAATTTACCAGTACAAAGGTATAGTTAATATAAATTTACATTTCTGACTGATTTAAATGTCATGAAGTCAAAGGAATAAATGAAGTTCTAAACCAGGGCAAATGTTTTTACTCTTATATTATAGATAGTACATAGAGAATAATCCAGAAAGAAATGAGCATTTATTTGACAAATAAAAGAATTATAAACTTCATTAACTGCATCTCTATATATCAGAGAAAGAGAATTATGAATCTAAAAGTTAGATTTAGTGGGAGCGCATGAGGTCAGATGGGATGCAGGTGGTAATAAACCAGCAGGTGATTACATACATCTCTAGGGATATGGGAATTCTAATCATTTCTTAGTCATTGTTGATATCTAGTCTCTTAAGTTCATAAAACTTGTCTGTTTGCAGTGTCTTGTTTCAACTGCACAGTATGAGGCTCCTGTAATGTTGCAAGGTTAAAAGAAAACGGTAAAGCTATCCCTGTAATGGGCCATTGAGGTCCATGGGGTTGTGAGACGTTGAGGATCCCACATTATCTAGACATTTGGCTTGCAGATGGCGGTAAGTTTGTCAGCCTTGCACGCTGGCTGCCATTTACCCCCCAGGAAGATTCCTGGTACTCATTTCTGTTAAGAGCCGGGGGCCATAGTGCAGCTGGAAGGATTAGGTCAATTGAAAAAATCCACCTCATTGTTACTTGAACCCATGACCTTCTGGCTTGTAGCATAGTGCCTCAACCAACTACGCTTCCTCGTGCCCCCTAATACATACGTACCTACATATATACATACATTTCCTTTCATAAGTCCAAAACAAATGGACATGAAGGTCGTCATATCAAAAAAACAAATACGAAAAATTTAAACAAGCACACAGATAGCAGACTAATTAAAACTAATTGTTTATGTTATGCTCCACATATTCAGAAACTGTATAAAAGGAATTATTCATAAGATATAAAGACAGCTTATTTTTAAAACTAATTCTATCCTCTTAAAGGCTTTGAATGGTTATGGGCAATCTGTTGCAAGGGTACAGCACAATATAGCATGAGGTACTTTTTGACATTTTATAAATTTGGAAGGCTCGTGAGGTTCAGTGTAACAGCTGTCATTATCAATAAACAGAGTACTAATACAGCACTGTACCACAGCTCTGTGAGGACTTCATTCAGATAGGTTGGCATCATGACATTTGATAAAGCATATTAATGATCCACAGTTCTAACTCAATCCAGCTATAATGTTCAACTCTTTCATTACCATTGAAATCGGTAAGAAAGTGCATTTCTCTCTTGTTCTTTTGTGATACATACTGCAGTAGCTCAGTTGCCTGCATGTTGTTAAAATACTTTTTTAATATTTTCACTCTAATAAGGACAGTGACTTACAGTCTCTTTTATCCAAACTGCATTTTTTGTGTGTTTCACATTCATTGGTTCCAACTGTCTCTGCTGGATATGTTTTTATAAAAATACAAATAACCTTACTTGTTGTAAGGCGATACGTTCCTCCGAAACGTCGGCTGAAACAAAGAATACACGGCGCCAGATCCCAGAAGACGACTTTCTTCAACCTTACTTGTTGTTTAACACATTCATTGCCATGCACCCATGCTGAGATTTTAACCTCTTGGGCCAGTCACTTTTCCACAAGAACTAGATTTTGAACTAGCAGCATTTGAAATAGAAAAGAACAAGCAAAGAACAGCAGCAGCAGTTGTATGTTCTGATTTCTTCAAGCTTTGATGCATAATCTGTAAATTTTTTCTGAGTATGAGCAACATCTATAGGAAAATGTCATATGCATACACAATGGAAGAACTCATCACTTGTTGGGATTGGCACTGGCACAGAATAAATTTCAGGTGGTCAGATGACACAATTTATAATGAATATGTTAATGCTGATCTGAAATATGTGTTTGAGTACATTTATGTGTGTGTGTTTGTGTGTGTTGCATTTTCTGTGCTTAACTAATTAACAAATAATCTGTTAGGTGTATCATCTAACATTCATTACTTATTTATAATATGGTTTTCAATAGTTCTGTCAAACAGAACATATTGTTAGAGAATATGAAAGAACAGCAAACAAAGTAATCTGATGTGAGATTCTCACATTGGTGGCTATAAGAAATTGTCTTAAAAGCAAGATGGTATTTTATTAATGTAGAAGGCTAATAAGAATAATTAAGCATCACATCATACAGCTGGAAGGTGCCATAACTTTAATTTGAAGCCAAAGTGGATAATTTTCAGTCCAATGTGACATACAAGTTTATAACACTTCAGTCTTTATTCACCTTACATGTTTCGATTCAAAAGAATCATCCTCAGAGGTGCAGAGATTCTTTTGAATCGAAACATGTAAGGTGAATAAAGTCCGAAGTGTTGTAAACTTGTATGTCACACTGGACTGAAAATTATCCACTTGTAATTAATAGTGTGACGGACCACAATGAGACAAATCAAATTTAATTTGAAGCCCTTACCACTTTAATTTCTGCAGTGCTTGCTGTCATTCTGATCAGCATAATAAATAATCAGCCATAAAGCAAAACAAAAACATGCCTCCTTATATTGTCTTTGCTAGATAGTTATTAGAAGTTTAAACAACCAGTAGTAGGATGGAATTCACCGAGATATGAAATAGACAGGAAAAATCGTGAGAAAGACACAACCAGACAAATTCATGTGAACTAGTACAGTATGAGAAAGGTTAAAATACTGGTTAATAATAAATAGTTACAACTGTAGGGTTTCCCAACACTCAGTATATGTACTGACTTTATAAATTTGGTTATGTCTGAAAGCATGTGATATATGTCAGCATTCTATCTGAACTATATAATCAAGGTTGTAGGAAATTTCTTCCATACATTTCAAGATTTTGTGAGATTTTGTGTGGGTACATGCGTCATTTACTGCCAGTCAGTTTATCTTGGCATGAAGCCCCTTGAGACCCATGACCAGAGATATTTTTTCCCCCAACTGAACCCTTGTGGTAATAATACTTATGTAACATTCTCTCTGATGAGAAGATGGGTTTGTCTCTTATGAACATGCTTGGAATCTTGTCAAGTGTACATTTCACACACATCGGATAGGAGGCTGAGTGTGTCCCAGGGCTGGTCTAGATGCTGTGGAGAAGAGAAATATCTTGCACTGGCGGGAATCAAACTTGGGCCTTGCAGCCAATAGCCTATTGATTATACAACAGTTATATCATGCAAAACATAAACTATTATAATGTGAACTAAGTAATTTCTCATGTTCAATTTGAGAATCTCATGGCAATGACTATGAAAAGTACCGTCTTCTGGGTTGTAACAACTTTAAGGTTCGAAAGAGCTCACCTTGCTGCATGCTTCTGTTGGCTTCATAATTGAACCTGAAGACAGAAGTGATATGTTCCTCTGAAATATGGAATTATCTCAAAATTATAGTGTTACAACCCAGAAGACTGTAGTCTAAAGTCATTTTATCACTTTGTACCTTCATTTGATGCACACACTTTTGACAAAGATACAAATAATTTTCTAGAAATATATGCCATGTGTCACATTATTAAAATGGTGAGTAGAATTTTATGGTAATATTTTGGTTCTCCTAAATAGACTTTTTGTTTCACATATGCATGGTATTGTAAATGGATTGTGGTGCATGTTTTGAAGATAAATGGCACAGTTTTATTTACATATTGCATTGCTTCAAGTCCTGCAACAAAATCAAATATGTTGAAAATTTGTAAACAGTAGGCCTACACAGGGCTAATGTAATAGTTCTGGATTAATTAAAGATATGATTCCAGTAGGGAAAAAGTGTGAAGTTTTCTACAAAATATAATTGCTATAATCACTATGTATGTTTTTGTTTGTTAGAGTCTTCTTTGTAGCCCAGAGTATAGTAGGAGGTTAATATTAAAAAGGACAGGGGGTTATTTTCTTTATTATGATCATAAATCCATAGGTTTCACAATGGGGTGATTCTTTGCACATGGTTCAGTAGGTCATGTCACATTTGGTATTTTTGGTAGATGCATTGAATTTTATCACCATTTTAATTTCTGTGCATTCTTGTCTCAAAGAATGTGAAAATAAGATATCTTAAATTATTTCTTGAAATTTCAGGCATTATGTTTCAAAATACTTATGATACATTTCCAGATGCTGACCATATTAAAACTGTTATAAATGTAGCACCCATGCACTTCTTTCTCCTTTTGATAGCCATAAGTATGATTATATTATACATCATTTTGAAACACCTATCTTGCAGTAAATTAAAAATCTATACATAAAAATGCAACCTAATCTGTTTCACAAACCACAGCATAGAACCACTGCTGTGTAAAAACGAGCTTGTTTTAACAAATTCATTTTCTCTTCGGTTAGATGCACAATAATGTTTCTGATAATTTGTTGGTTTTGATATTACTGATGAATTAATCTCTAATGTATGGCATTTACATCTGTCATTATGAGAAAACTTTGTTTTGCATAGTGAGAAATATCAGATGTGGTGGTAAATATAATGAGAATTTCTGTATTTATGTTGAAAACATTAATCAAATTTTATATTTCGATGGCTTCTCTCACATTAAGAGAAGACCAGCCTGAGAGTGAATTGTGCTATCTTCTGAGTTATAATGACACCATAGCAAATTTTCAATTACAACTAAGTCAGGAATCNGATGCTGTGTAGTCAGTAGAAGTACACTGAACTTTTGGAGGAAGATACTCTTCAACCATGAAAAGTGAGGCATTACAGTCTGAAATGTTAGTTAACTTCTATCAGGATGTACAGGAAGATAGCATTCATCATAGCCACAGCTGTCAGAACCTTAGTTCTCACAAACATTAAGGGTGTTTGTGAAATGTTAGTTAACTTCTATCAGGATGTACAGGAAGATAGCATTCATCATAGCCACAGCTGTCAGAACCTTAGTTCTCACAAACATTAAGGGTGTTTGTGAACAGGGTGCTAAAGAGAATATTTGGATGCCATGGCCCAATTAGTCAACCAGTTTTTCAGTCCCAGGTCAATTCACGTGGGATTTGCAGTTGGCAAAGTGGCACTGGGACAGTAACAATTGTCAATTAATAGCCTCAGTGTCAGGGGACTTGGCCCCACCTCATCCTAAGAAAAAATAGGGGAGGGGCTTAAAAATTGTGTAGTGAGGAGCTTCATAATTTGTATTCTTTGCCAAATATTAGAATGATTACATCAAGAAGAACTGGACGGGCAGAACATGTAGCACATAAACAATGGCTATGCATGTAGAGGTTTTTTGTAAGAAACTTGAATGGAAAACTACTTCAAAGATCTCAGTGGAGGTGTGAAGATGAAATTAAAATAGATCTTAAAATAGTGGGATAGGACTGCATTCATTTGCCTCAGTATATGAATGAATGGCAGGCTCTTCTGGGCGTGATAATTAACTTTTCTGTTTCATAAAATGCTTGGAATTCCTTGTCTAGCTGAGCAACTATTAGGTTCTTGAGGAGGATCATGCTCCATTAGTACTGTGTATATGGTACATACCTTGCTGTTCATAACTGTGGCTCACAAGCAAGCACTTAATGTTGCATTATATTTGTTTTGACTCTCCATATTTCCAGACCTTGATTTCAGCTGCTGGTGTTCAGAACAAGCATGACAGTGAAACAGTTACCACAATATTAAATGGGTTCTACCTTCTTGTCAGGTGTGATGCTCTACTTTGGATACAGCATTCGACACAGTGAGGAGGCAATGTTCCATTGTAAAACACCAATTCCAGTGAAAGGTAAATGGACGCATTATTCTAGGGAACAGACATTTTAACTTCTGAAGAAAAATGAGATTTTCGCTTATTTTTAGAGACAGAAACTCTATTTTTGATAATTTTTTATAATTTAAATATCTGTTCTAATTAAACTCTCATGTTATAAAATTTTTAATGGGTAATGTTCTTAAGCAGTACAAATCTCTCTGAAGATTCAGTAAGGATTTAAGTAACATTTACAATATTCATGGAATTTAAAAGATTTAAGGCATTTTTATATGAACATTATAAATCTGTAAACTTTCAAAAGTGTTTGTCACCAAGAGACAGAAACATTATGTGGACAATTAGTACCAAGAACCTAGACTTCTCCCAAACAATTAGTATGCTGCTTTTTGGCATTAATATACTGCAAGATTGGGATATGAAACAAACTAGTAACCCACAGGAGTTCCTTGGTTTGGAGTTACACAGAATGCTACAAAAATTGTAGAAAACATGTTACAATTAATTTTTTGATGGAAGTAAACAGCAACGATACAGTGAAAGTATTATTAGGAGTAAACAACTTCTGGTTATTTAAAGTGTTGTACACAGATTATGAATATATGTGTGTTTGCTAGTCAGGCACCAAGATGTGATTATAGTAAATTGTATGGTGACATTGTGTGAAGTTGCTATAATCTCGCTTTAAGGATTGATAGTAACTTTATTTCAAATTCCGATTACTTTTATAATGTTAATGTTACATGTAAAATGTGCATTTTAATTGTGATATATGTAACATTCCTTTCTTTTACAAATATTTAATAGACGAAGCAATGAATTTAGTCATTTACTTTATTTAGTTCAAAAATATCTACCCTTATTACTGTACTATAATTTTGTGATGCATCCTTCAACATTTGTATACCTTCTGAAGCCAATGTATTTCTACCTTCTCAAATTTACATATTAGTCTAATGCTGGCAGCACAATACAATTACTGCAGTATGCAGTGGAGAAATCAAAATTGTGCTAGGTATTTCTGAAATTCTTTAATTCCTTAGACTAATATTGTTGCTTATTCCTGCAAAATGGAGGTCTTTCAGAGCCAAGCAGTATAATATGACATGTTAAAGCAACAACATATTGGGTTGCACTGACATACCATTTTAAACAACACAGCTCGAACCTCAATATTTTAGTGACCAGGTTATGGGCTATATGACCAGGATTTGATTCCTAGCGTATTTTTCTGCTTTAATATCATCCAGACTGGCTCTGGGGCTCATGAAGTCTCCTATCCAATGGGCATTGGCTTGGTGGTAAGCTGGCAAGGGATGAAGCTGACTACACACCATCATCTAGTGCCAGGACTTAGTATACTTCCATTCTTCCATCTGTCTTCATTAAGCACAAGGAAAACTCCATTTTCTTACCTGTGTTCCAAAACAGATAATAAAAGGGAAGCCACTCTAGGGAGTGACTGAACACAAAGAAAAAATAAATCTGCAAATCTAGGCTTTTCCAAGTTTGAAGAAGAGCAGATAAGTTATTTTGGTGAACTGAAACTAGATTCAGGTTGATCAGTCTCAATCATATAAAGGCAAATACTGCCAATGTGCGACTCAATTTCGAACAAATTATAAGCATGGTTAAAAGCGAATAACCAGACAAAACCTTCATCAAAATTGTAATTTTGTTTTACTATTACAAGCACAATAAAAATATTAAAGGGCTGGTGTCACATTTCCACTCAACTCCCTTCAATCATATGGGTCAATGCACGAAAAGTCTCTTCCAATCTCTTCTTTCTTCTAATCTTTCCTTTTCAATTTCTTGCCTGATCTTTCCTCTCTTCTTGACGTCTTAAAAAATTTGACTAAACCATATTCCATCTGGGTCATGCCATATGTATCTTTCCTTAAAATTTCAATTCTAAACCCCACTTTGTTCTATTTATTCTCTTTACACAGCCACAAAAGTGTAATAATTTCACTTTTAATTGTTAACAAATTCAAATTTTAAATTCTCTAAAATTTTTCATTTATAATTCTGCCCCTTCTTGTTCATCAGTCAGTACTTCTCAAATATATCCATGGTCTACTCTTATCTCTTTGTTCATTTTAAGCAGTAAAATTTATCATGGTTATTAAAAAATCACTTCATGAAGGTGCAGAAAAAATGGGGAGTGAAGTTCCTTGCAACCTATGCTTTAACATTAGATGAAGGAAAGTTGTCAGCTTCATGTCAGCTGATCCCCCCTCAAGGAAAGAATAATTCCTGGATACTCATTTGCTACAAGGATGCATGCAGTGATAAGAGGATTCCAAAACTCCTGGCTCAGACTGGAACTCCATCCAGCCTGCAGTTCAGATCCATCATGACATCAATTGTCTGAAGACTGAATTTCTTTTAAATAATATATATATATAAATTCAGTTCATACCTCACAGGAACCAGTTAATGCTGTTCAGGGAAACAGTCGTTGTTTAATGTGAGAACCACAGAAGACTCACAAATACACTCTATGGGCAGATTGCAGAGTTTCATTCTGTTAAAGTAGGTGATACATATACGACCACTGGGCTTTAAAGGGTTAATTGCTATTCAGTAAATAAATAGTAAAAGTAAAAAAAAAGTAAAGCTATCCCTGCAACAGGCCGTGAAGGCCCATAGTGTTGTGAGACGTTAAGGGTCCCACATTATCTAGACAATTGGCTCAAAGATGGCGGTAAGATTGTCAGCCTTATGCGCCGGCCGCACTTCGCTCCCCAGGACAATTATTTAATTCATTCCTGGTACTCATTTCTGTTAGAGGCTGAGTAAACCCCAGGGCCTAGTGCGGCCGGAAGGATTAGCTCAATTGAAAAAAATCCAATGACCTCATCGGGACTTGAACCCGCAACCTTCTGGCTTGTAGCATAGTACCTTAACCACTATGCTACCGCGTACCTCCATAAATAAATAGACTGTCTGGAAATATGTGCTTACAGACTACACTACATGCCGTATTGCTGAACATGATGATGAATTACAACATTCCGAGCACTGCATAATTTTTGTTGAAAATACAAATAAAGTTGTATGTGGTGTTGTAATACAGTAAGTACTACCCATAGTTGTGTTTTCTGTGAAACCTGTGTTCAATTTTTATCTCATAATTCAATACATCATGTGGGGTTGGGCCTGACTGTCCATACCCTGCTGCAACATCACATTCAACATTAATTTGGTGCACAAGTACACACATGTGCACAGAAAAAAAAATGGCACTGGTCAAAATATTATCAAATGATTTCTGTTCCCGTATTCATGATGTAATCTGGGCATCTCTCTCTGTGTGCACGTGTATGTGTATTAGAGTATTCACTTGTATTCATTCATAAAGAAAGAGACAGAGTTTTACACAGTGTGAATTAAAACTCTCAGGTTTTAAATGGTTTATTTTCATATAGATTACATAATAACACTATCAAACATAAGATTTCTGGAAGACAAGGTCATAAATTGGATAAGTATGTTACATACGCAGATATTTATCCAGTTATAAAAGTAAATGGGCCTGATGGTGAGGTATATTTGTGGTGCACTTGAAGGGCTAGAGACATAATTCATAGCAGTGACAGCCATGATTCCAACATATGTTTCAGATGCTAAAATGTTATTCTTAAAAAAGGCTGAACTCTGCTATTTGTCTTCGTGACTGTGTAGGCACCAGCATGGACCCTGTCTCAGTACAATATCAGTTCTTTTACCTAGAATTTTACCTTAATGTATGCTACGAAGTAGTATAGAGAGTTTATAGACAACGCAACCATGGAGTGAATTTATACATTACGGATCAGACTGACTTGATGGGAGAAATGTCCAGCTCTTCGGTCCTAATGTCCGCTTGCAAACAGTCTTCCTGTATTACGTATGAAATGGAATGTGTAAAAGAATTATTATCATCTCTTGGATTTGAGGTTCTTATAGTACTGACTATGCCCAGTACTGTTACCTGCTCAGATGTAATGAAGTGTAGTCTGGTAAAAGTTTTCCTGCTGCAGTGGCTCAGGTTTGATCTCAGGTCATATGGGATGTGTGGTGGACAAAGTGGCACTGGGCAGGTTTTCCCTGCCAATTCTTATTCCACCAACCACTCCATATTCATTAATCGCCCTATCATCAACTCTATATAGTCTTGATAATGGGACATTAAATAACCAACTAAAAAATAAAGACTTCCACCACATTATCCCTGAAGATAATACTCTTCATTAATCTTCTAGTTTTGTAACTGCTTTACACAAAAAACAGTTTATGTGATGGTTACATTTTCTTCACCAATCTATATAGCAACCAAATTGTAGAAGAAATGTGTCATCTGTGAAATCATTCTTAATATTTTTCTTTTGTCTAAACAACAAGATCTAAATATGTAAACAATATAAAAATTCTGGCAACTTTCTCTTTGTATTATGTCTGTAGGACTGGATTTAGACTACATACAAACTGACCACACCATGTCAACTTCTCTCAACACATTCTGTACGCAGCCAAACAATTTGGAACACATTTGTATCAAATATGATCTACAGTTAAAAATTCCTGGCATAAATGTTACACAGTGAGTTTAAATTGTCCTGACTTTTTATAAAATTCAAGTCGAAAAATCCAGCTTCAATTTACTGTTAATGTGTGTGTTTAATAAATAATTTCCTTTCTGAAGGGGGAACCTCATTAAAACTCCTTTTTACTGACTAATGACATCCACTGTTACTTCTACACTACAAGGGCACAATCTGACCAGACTGTTAAAACTTCAGTTCTGTGTAACACTGGAAACAATTCTCAGTAACATAAGACTTATACATTGATGTATAATGTCAGTACACTGACCTGGTTTTTATATTCCTGCATTTTAATACATCCTGAAAAGAAACAAAAAAAAAACCCCCGAGGTTGATGAAAACTGGTACACTCTTGGGGAGTATAAAAGCTTATTATTTAGTACAAGAATTTTATTTAAATCTGTTTAATTCAACAAATGCTTGACTGTACAATGTGGCCTTCAGTGTTCTGACAGTGGTGAATGTTGAAATTATATACAGTAGTATGAGATGTGACACTATGGGCTCAGTAATCATAAACCCTGTCCTCCTTTCACTATATTATGTACTACTTTTCCCTGCTTGGCTCACCTGTCTGCCCTGATGATGGAGATATCATGTTCCCCCTAACATCTGTACTCGCCTACCAAACTACATTGCACATGACATCGCAGAATACCAATACCTTATTTACACTACACAACAAAATATGTCAAATTCTCATTTCCAATACCTGATAACACAGATAACAAAGACGTACAAACATTTGTCAGTTTTGTGATTAAAAACTCCCATAATGCCTGACGATTGCAAATCTTCATTATAAAAAGTTGCATTGTGTGCAGAGCAAGGGCCACTCTTCAGGTACCCTGTGTATTCTGTAGAAAGTTCAGTCTCAGTATTTGTTAATGCCAAACAGCCTCACCCGGTGAAACTGTGGCAGCTTAGGTAGAACTACTAATACCATGGAAATAAAATTAACTATGAAGTGGCTTGTAGCGTATCTCGTGTAGAAGCTTGTCAGAAGAAAACTGAAAACAGAAAGTCAAATTCCATTCACATAATGCCGAACTTATATGGTAGTAATATCAAATCATGTGCAGTAATATATGTGGTCTGACAATAAAGTTCACGGACTCATCACACTTAAAAGTGCTACATACTTCACTGATGAATATCACTGTGGGCGCCTTCAAAGTACTCCCCTTTGGAAGCTGTGCACCGATGCCAGTGCTTAGTCCACCCTTGAAAACAATTTTGGAACTGGTTAGTGGAATGGCTTTCAGAGCTGCTATCGTATTAATCCTGATGTCATCAAAATGCCTTCTTTTCAATATTTTCTTCATCTTTGGGAACAGAAGTGAGTCACTGGGGACTAAATCTGCTGAACAGGGAGGGTGTACCAGCATGGTGACTTGTTTACTAGTTAAAATCTCTCTCACAGACAGTGCCATGTGAGCAGGTCCATTGTCTTGAGGCAAGATCCATGAGTTGTTGGCAAAAAGTCTGGGTTGTTTTTGTCTTAACATTTCCCATGACTCGGACTGCATAGCACACAGAGCTAAGTTTCAGGATAAATGAGTCAATATGAGTTTTCCAAGTCAGAGTATTTGCAATATTAACCCCTAAGAACTTTAAACGGGTTGAGTTGGGTATTTCCATGTTACTGTATACTATCTTTATCTCATGTGCATGCATATTTTTTTGTATTAAACTTGACAAATCCAGTTTTAGAAAAGTTTAAGAACAATAAATTAGTCACTTGACGATTTTCACACACAATCTGGTGAACTTCTGCAATGTTTTCTTCAGTTCTCTATGTTGCTGTCCGTCCTGATTTCTCTTCATCAGCGACACTTCCTGTTCCCTCAGAAAAACTAGTCACCCACTTGTAAATTGCTGTTTTCTTCATAGCATTATCCCCATAAACTTGCACTAACATCTCTTTCATTTCACTTCCACTCTTGCCAAGTTTAACAAGAAATTTAATGCTCATTTGTTGCTCTAGTTCAAGCTCTGACACTTTAGTGACGGCACACCAAAACACACTCAGACAATAAGAGATGCCACTCAGAAACTGCCATAGACCACCACCACAGCTGTGAAACGCTGATATGCCAGTCATCAAACCATACTGAGGTTTCTGTCCACTGCTGCCATGGCAAGCATATGGTGGCAAGTTCACAAACTTTATTGTCAGACCTCATATTTCTTTAATAGTCACACTATGATTATACAAATTAATGCACTTACATTATTAAGGCAAAGGCAAGGTCCTTCTAATTATGTGGCACTTTTGAACAATCAGTTTGCTATGGGCTAGCAATCTGGCTACATACCAAATCAGTAGTAAAATCAATGAACATACATCTACGGACAAAGGGCACAGTAAACCTGTGTACGTTATGTCCGTGGAACATGAGTGTAATATAGAACTTTCACTGTGCATGGACCATGCATTGTCTGGCCACCTCGGTCATCTTGTTTGGCTACAACAGTGATCAAGTGTACTGCACCCCCACCCTCCAATGAGTTGCATGCCAAGATTAATGCAGTTGCTGCCACAGTTTAGATGGTCCAATGTCGAGTTATGCAAGGACATCACACAGAACATTTAAATATACAGAGAACATGTAATACAATGCACTGATTAATATCTGTAGCTCTGTTTAGTTCTGATGTATGAATGCTCAAAAGTGCAACCTAAATTAGGAAGAACATGAATAGGGCAATCTCATTTCTGGAAGTAAAATATTTACTTACAGTACAATGGGAACAACTGTTAGGAACTTGCGAGTGGCTGTAAACTGTTGCCCATAATCTATTTGCTCCCAGTGAGTGAGTATCCTGCAGTCTCCTTGGTCCTGGGGAATCCACGGTGCCCCTTTCAAGATGTGTAGGAACACAAAATGGCACTGTAAGAGCAGCATACAAATTATCTCCTCTATTATGTTGTTTGTATTGTTTTACTTTCCACACTTACATGTTCTTTGCATGAAATATGTCAAATGCAAAATGGGTAAGTCATATATGGCTCATCTATTTATGTCCAAAACTAATGAAAGGATTTTCATTAAATTTGGTACTAAAGATCTGGAGGGGGCACATGGTAGCATAGTTGGATGAGGGGCTATGCTACAAGCCGGAAGGTCACGGGATCAAATCCCGATGAGGCCATTTCATTTTTTTCAATTGACCTAATCCTTCCAGCCGCACTATGGCCCTGGGGTTCACTCAGCCTCTAACAGAAATGAGTACCAGGAATTAATTAAATAATTTTCCTGGGGAGTAAAGCGCGGCCGGCACGTAAGGCTGACACCCTTACGGCCATCTGTGAGCCGACTGCCTAGAAAATTTGGGAGCCTCTATATATCTCACAACCTTATGGGCCTCCATGGCCTGTTACAGGGATACCTTTACTTTATCTTTTACTTACTTACTGAAGAGCTTGAGGGATCTACACCACACAGTGCAGGTTCAATTTCATTTTGGTTCATACTGGTAAAAATATAACCCCTACTTTAAGATAAAAAATTTCCTCAAAAATGACTTGTACAAAAAGTATGTACATGACATCGTATGGAATGTGGATCACATCAAGAACTGCACTTTATCTGACCATTTTCAGTGCAGTGAATATATACTGAAATAAAGACAAAAATGATTTCTAAGTGCAAATACCTTCATAAAAGATTTGTAACTCCTATATAATATTACCAACTTAGCATTTATTTGTTTTCCTTCCTGTTAAAGGGAGCACGCGGTAGCGCAGTTGGTTGAAGCACTATGCTACAAGCCGGAAGGTTGCGGGTTCGATCCCTGATGAGGTCACTGGGTTTTCAATTTACCTAATCCTTCCAGCCGCATTACGGCCCTGGGGTTGACTCAGCCTCTAACAGAAGTGAGTACCAGGAATCTTCCTGGGGGTAACAGGTAGCTGATGTGTAAGTCTGGCAACCTCACAACCTTATGGGTCTCCACGGCCTGTTACAGGGCTAGCTGTATCTTTCTTTTTTTTTTGTCTTGTTCGAGCGGGCCTCTATGGTCTAGTGGTCAGAGTTCCTGGCTACAGATCCAGAGGTCTGGTTTTGTGGGTCTGGAACGGGGTCCACTCTGCTTTGTGAGGATAATTGAGGAGCTATTTCAAGGAAACAGCAGGTCCAGTCTAGAAAATCGAAATTAATGGCAACAGGAATTTGTTGCGCTGACCACACGACACCCTCTATCTGCTAAAGTTGGCACTAACTTTGCCTACAAGCGGCAGTCACTCAGTCGGTATAGTTTGCTTGCAGCCTCGAGCCATGCAGTTTGTTTTGTTTTGTTCAAGCAGGCAATATACATTTGGTTGCAATAGATCACTGAAAGTTGCAGTGCGCGGGCTGGTTTCTATGGTTCACCCCTTGCATATGGTTGTCACACATTCAAGTGGCCCTCACTTGAAAAACAAAGTATTATTCAATTTCCAAATAATGGGTAACAATTTATTTCTATTTTCATAACAAAAGAGATCAGTTGTATGAGAAATGAAGGGCATTACTTTTACAGCTCATCCACTATTTTTAAGTAACTAAATCAAAGTGAAACAGGCTGGGCAATAGCTTCAATGGTGGTAAAAGAAATGCAAAAGTCTGAAGACAGGGGCAATAATATTAAGCTACATCTTACTGAAAATTCAGGATGTGAAATATATAAGAATGAGATCCAATGGTGGGATTTGTTCTTAATGATATGGCTGTTATGGGAGCAGCACCAAGATTCACGCTTTGTACTGGAATTTGTAAATGTAGTACAAAAGGAATGTTCCAAAAATGCTATGTGCACATGAATTAATTCTTTGGGACTAATACAAGCACAAAAACAATTGTAGTGAGACTACAGACATGTCAGCTACACTGACTATATATATATGATTTGAAGCTTTTATGGTCACTTATCAGTGAAATCTTCCTGGGCAATCAGCTGTGTCAATATAGAGTTGATGTCAACCATTAACAACTGAGATGGCCACGGTCTCCAAGACACTGGGTACTATGTCCATATTGACATGACTGCCTAAGAAGATGAATTGCGCGCTATATATGCCTTATGACACACTCTAATGTACCATAACATGGCTAAGATGCATACTGTTCAGTAAATACACTTGCATAATCTTCCATCTTCGGCATGCAAACACCACTTCTATTATAATGTATATGTTCAGGAGGCTAATAGTGTGTTGGGTTTAACCAAAACCACGACGGTATTCACTATAGACATATATGAGAAACAATATATTTAAAATTTTATGTATACATACTGCATTATGTATGAGGTTTGTCAGAGTCCATGACAGTGCAACACTTAGTATAGGAATGCTAAGTAAAATGAGGTGGAGAGTTAATACCCCAAGTGCGTAACTTATCCATAATCCTCGGCTCTGGAGCCACGTTGTATTTGGGTTAGATTCACCGTGACCGCCAACCAACATTGCTAAAAATAAAATCGAAGGTCAACACGGTCAACACTGACATGTCATTCAGGTGGATCAGAAATTTGTATTCCGCACTTAGTAAACATACGTACCACTAACGAACCTGAAAGACGCACCCTCATACACACAGCAAGTCACTTTATGTATTCCACGTTTATCGCTAAGGGTCGTAATTTGATTTTTTTCAAAGTACACGCAGTAAGCCCATAATACCTTTTCTATTGTATTACAAGTACATGTCATCAGTGACATCAGCTGTCCACTAAACCTTCCTTGTTTTCTTTGACTTTCCTCATGGGTATTTGCATGCACGGATCACGTATATGTTTGTCAGACTGAGAGGCCCATGTGCAAGGTGTGATAACATATGACAGAGATGATAGCGAAAGATCATGGACATCATGGATTACCTGAAGGCTGTGATAGGGGTAAGATGGCGGATCCGAAGTACGCTGATTTGCCAGGCATTGTAAGACACTTTGTTAAGTAATTGTTTTATTTTTGCTATATATGCAATGATGTAATGTAAANCATTTTTGTATGTATGCAACTGTGTTAGCCATAGATGCTGATTTTTATTAAGGGAGTTCATCTCGTTTATAATGTATTGCACACGCATCTGTCAATTTTGATGACTTTGCTAGTAATTGATGCATTTTTTTATGGGTTGTCCAGTTGAATAAACCTGTGAAATTTTCGTGTATGGCAGCAGTTGGCTAGATAATAATGCTTATACTGGATCTGATAATCGTAAAATTTGTGTTTAGTGATGTTAGGAATGTTTACAAAGCTGTGTATGGTGCTCTGGATAAACTTAGGCATTGGCCACATTTTGGGTATACTGCCAACATGATGATCCACTGGTACATAATAGTTAATCCCTGTTGTTTAATATGTAATTGTGCACAAACGGTTGAGATCAAGATACCTAAAGAATAAAAAAAAAGTAGCAGTTATTGACAGTTGTAATTTTTTGTAGTTGTAGGTGTAGGGTGAGGCTAAGTTACTTGGTGCTGTGAAGTCATACTGGAGTATTGTAGAATACCTGGTAACAGATTCGTATGGAGCACTGGTGGGATGATGGTTAGTTGGAAGAAACAAAGTGCTTAGAGGAAAACCTGTCCCATTGCTATTTTGGCCATCACAAATGCCATGTGGACTATCTTGATATTGAACCAGGGCCTTTGCGGTGAGAAGTCAGTGACCAACCACCTTAGGCTGTTACTGAAGTTGTGCTTTGAGCTCTAATTGAATGCAGACTTTCCATTCCCATTATTTTTGTAAGACTGTGTGTGTGTGTGTGTGTGTGTGTGTTTTTTNTACTGAAATTAAAAGCCTACTTTGTTCCTTATGTTATTGAATGTAGATTCTCAAGAGGGTGTCAGATTGATACCCTATCAGATGCCTTAGTACTTCGATTACATTAAGTAAAACATTGAAAGATGTTACATGACATCTGTGAAACCTGAACTTCAGAATCTTGAAATTGTGTAAATATTGCAGAAGTGTTCACATACTAGCAAACAGAAGTACAACTACACTGCCAGCCATAACATTCGAAGTGCTGTTGCATCTTTTTCAGTCCATAGCAAAGCAATGTATAGAGAGCCTGCGAGCTAACAGAATAGTCCTCACTATGAGAGCTCACAGCTTAGCAACATGTTTGTGATGACACATTCTGCAAGGAACAAAGCAGGAGTGATATGATAGATTGTGAAACTGTAGTAAATGGTTGTAAACTGTGTAATCATTTGTAGATAAGAAAAATCAAGTGTCCAATAAATAAATTACCAAACAGAACCCATTGTTTAGTCACTATCTTGTGACAGTATGTTGACCACAATCTGGTTTGCCATTTGTGATTTTGACTTATTTATGCAGCATAAAAGTAAACAATTTGTAGTGCTCTTGGAACCTGAGACAACCTGTTAGCTTGGCATATAGAGTGATCCATTCACATATGGATAAAAGTAATACATTGTGAAATGTGAGTTGTTAATTTTTATTTCTTAATATTTAGCACATATGACCCACAAAGATGTAGATTCTGCCTTTTGAATACACAGCAGGGACCATAACAGGAGGCCAGTTCTATTCATGTATCATTCGTCACATGCCTAATCCCATTTGTGTGAGGCTTGAACATGCTGGATCCAATACAGGAACATTTTCCAGTATGACCAGACAGTGTGCTGGCTTGATGTGTGTGCTACATTAACCTCAAGCGTCAGGCTTTCCCTGGGCTCCTCAGGCAGCATGAACAACAGCTGTCTCTGGACAGTGCACTCGTCCATCAGTGTGAGGTTTAGTCACATATCCTTTCTCTCCAAATGTGATTCTACTTCATTACAAAATCAGACTTGGGAACTCTCCACACATAGATACAGGAAAACTCATGGTGCACCACTGTCACACTCAGATTGTTAGTATCAGAGCACACTTTGGTTACTGCTGTGCACGTGCCAGCATCATTAAATTTCACATGAATCACAAGCTGCACATGTGTAGTGAGGATTGCATAACAAACTCCAGTGTTTTATTAAGACATAACAGGCCTGCAGTATACTACTTCCTGCTTAGCTTTCATAACATTTTACTTTTATCCATACTCATATGGATCACCCTGTACTTTGGCATTTTTGTGCAGTAACATCTGTAAAGCATTTTGTATACATGTATTTCCATCTCAAATGTAACTTATTGTATTGTAGCGTCCTGTTGCACTTTCCACTTTTTAAAATTTAAAAATTCACTCAGTGGGAGTGGAGTCCAGCTGGTTCCATTTGGCACGGTGGCCACTTATTGGCCTATTGTACCTGCCCTGGGTGATTATGATGATGGAGAGTTTGGTGGAATGAAGATGGGCAGGGAAACTGAAGTACTTGGGGAAAATGTGTCCCAGTGCCACTTTGTCCACCACAAATCCCACTTTACCAGACCCGGGATCATACCTGGGCAGCTGTGGTGGGAAGCCAGCGACTAACCGCTTGAGCTATGGTGCGGCCTTTGCACTTTTCACTTAGTGTCACTTAGTTTTTTTACAGACTCATGTGCAACAGTATGTTCTATAATATTTATTACAAGTTATTCACTTTTAAAGATTAGAAGTCCATCACTACATGTTTTGACAAATGTGGTCGTCATCAGGTGTTAAAATTTGTTTGGCGCAAAACCTTCTGTCTCCTGCTGTTGCAGCACAACACACAACAAGAGAGAACACAACCCACCGACTCAAACACGTATGCACATCGAGAGGGCTTATATATTTAATAACATAAGCAGCAACAGAAGACAAGAGTTTCCGTGCCAAAAAAATGTTAACACCTGTTGATGACCACATTGGTAGAAACATATAGTGATGATGGACTCAAAATTTTAAGGTGAATAACTTCTAATACATTTCATAGAACTTAGTGTTGCACATGAATTGGTAAAAAACTGATTGACACTAAGCAAGTTATTATCTTGTCCTGCTTCTGTATCGTTGCATGTTTCCGTGAAATATGGCCATCATCAGGTGCATCTCCACCTTGCCAAAACTTCCACTGTATGTTAAAAGTATGATGGCCATATACAGCTGAAACCTATAGTGATAGAGAAATAGGACTAGATAATAAGTTGCATTTGAGATGGAAATATTTATATACGAAGTAAATATATTAATGCAACAAGATGCTTAAATACATGTATATAGGGGCTTGTCATTTACGTCTAGGTACAGGAATGTGCAAGGCTTTTGTACTCAGTAGAATTTTCCTTTTCAGGCTTATGACCAGCCTGATATCTATGAGACACCTGACACACCTGAATCTAATAAGAATACTGGTTTTTACGAGGTAATGAATATAAAATGTTTGTCTTATTAATTTTAACTATTGAATGTAAACAGAAACAAAATTGATCTAACCTTAACTCGAATCAGATGTAGGGCTATTATTTATAGTATGCCCCACTACAAATTAAATTATTGGTAATGATGCCACATTTACAGGGGGTTATGTGGTAGTGTACTTGGTCGAGGCATTATGCTACAAGCCGGAAGGTCTCGGGATCAAATCCCTATGAGGTGGATTTTTTTCAGTTTACCTAATCCTTCCAGCCGCACTATGGCTCTGGGGTTGACTCAGCCTCTAACAGAAATGAGTACCAGGAGTCTTCCTGGGAGTTAAAGGGTCGCCAGCATGTAAGGCCGACTACCTTACCACAATCTGTTAGCCGATTTTCTAATAAATGTGGGAGTCTTGATGTCTCACAACCTTATTGGCCATCACGGCCTGTTCAGTTCAATTCAATTCAATTTTATTTCATCCATGAATCATTATACATGATATGGGACAAGTCAAAGATTAATATTAATACTAATACTAAATAGTAATAAGAATATAATAATACAGAAATAGTATGCCAAAGGATACAGGGATAGCTGTACCTTTTTACCTTTCTACTGGGAATATAGGCCTATTTATGTCTTGTCACAATTTATGAATGTGAGACAGAGATAAATAGTACCAACACAATGAAAACTTCAGTTTATTTTCTGAACTTTTCATTTTTATAGACAAACATAGCTATTTATAATGTTGTACTACCCATTAAGATTACTGTCTTGCGGGATGTAACACTTGTCTGATGCTTCCATCTTCAGGGTAGAAGAGACAGTCTTCTAGCCATAAGATGGAGGTATCAACCTTCTCCAAAACATTAGTAACTGTTTACCAGACTATACATTGTCATATCTCAGAATACAGCAGGCTTCATAGTCACCACTACAAGAACCTCAAATCTCACATTTGTGCCTTTTCCGTATTCCAGTTTTGTGTTGCACATTTAGCTGCTGTAACTTAGAAATGTGAAGGTACCCCATGTTGATTATCTCTCTCTCGCTGCTCACGTTACTGGAGATGACGCGTGCAATTGCAACTGGTGCGAAAATGAATGGTACAGCAAGCACCAGAATTATGAACTACACTAACTGAAAAACAACTGATTTGAAGTGAAATAATGATGTATAAGTTGTCAAAGATTAAATGGAAATTTTCTACCACAGAAAGAGCTTTTATTGTATGCACATAGATGCGGCAGTGTCCGCTATTGGCATAACAGCTCAGAATTGATAGTCTGAAACTTGTCAGTTGTTGAGTTTTGGTATTTAAATAGATAATCGTGATTTTCAGGCTTCCAACTTATTGGTAAGTGTCAGATCCCTGTAAGGAAGCAATGATCGAAGTCTGAGAACTAAGTCAGCCCAATTAAATCAGTCAAATTTGGATGTTTGTTATTATAGAACTTGAGTGTTTTGAAAGCTGGGTGATTTTATTAATTATGGTGTTGGGTAAAACAGGAGACCACAGTATAATGCTTAAGAAAACATCATGAATGCCATTAGCTGTATTTGTCAGCAGGAATCTATGTTCGTGTCTCTGTTTTCTGTTACAGGAAGAATCTGATTCCATTGAACGCCTTCACATCAGTGCCAGTGAAGCATTTACGAAGTTCAAAGGAAAAACATTGGAAGGAAAAGGAATTGACTTTTCTGATCGATTAAGCAAAAGATTGCGAACAGGATATGATGCTAGGTACAGGAATGAATAAATATATAGAGTAAGAGAACTGTTACCTCTGTTTGCCACACAAAAGGCATAGAAATATTGTTCTTGCTTTTGGTGATCATGGCACATTTAATTTCAGATCTGTAGATTGGGAGTTGGTTGAAAGTGGGGAGAAAGAAACCCCACTCCAGAAGTATCAGCGACTTCAGTGTGAGATGAAGGAACTGTTGGAAGAGGTTACGCAGTTGAAAGTAAGAGACTGATATTCTTGAATGTGGGTGGGCAATGGAAGGAATATTTTAGAAAGATGTCTACTGACTGTGTCGTCAAGTGTTCATTATGCTGAAATCAGCATTTTATTTATTGTGTTTCATAATAGTAGTTTGTGAGATACAGTTGGTGTTCATGATGAGAGATGTCTGTATTTCACTCTGATTATATATTCCCTTCATATGAATATCTTTTGAGAGGTGTGCTTATTTGATGTGCCATTTTTCATTATGTAAATACTGTTTATAATGACAAGTCATTATGCAGGTCTTGAAATATTGCAAAAGAGCCTGTTCTCACAGTAAGTTAGTTTTGTTTTGGGTCTTTAAATTTTGTTTTAAAATATCTGACATGAAAGGAAGTTAATTTGTATTTCTGGTGTTATGTCATCATGTAGTTTTGGAGGCAAATACCAAGAGGAACATTATGCCTACATCATTATGGTTGAATGCCTGACATTTGAAGTGCTGCAAGAGTTTTATATAATTTCCCACTCATCTTTCTTTGTCTGAATGTTCTCCTTAGTGCCGTCATCTGAAAAACGAGTGATAGAATTAGTTATGCACCTGTATAGAACAACAGGAAAAAATAGTGGTCATCTTGTATTCTGAAGATAGAGGCATCAGGTTCCACTGAAATGTTTGTACTTGTGTGTCTGACTTCATGGTGTCACGCCCAGAGTAACATAGTATTCATCACCATAAGAACCTGAGATCTGATACAGGCTAAATTGTGTGTATTTTTATATGTTTTAATGAGAGTTCTTATCTGAAAAAGTAATTTATAGGTTGGTGAGCAGGAAATGACTATCATGGGATAAAGGTATATAGTGGCAATGCATTTTTCAGTTTTTTATGTGCGTGTGTATGGTGTTCATTGTATCTTGTGTGATTTACATAGGAAACAGTGAAAGATGAAAAGAATCTGGAAAGTATATCATCTGTGCTGCTCTCTAGTCGGGTGGAGGAAGCAAAGAAGCAGTTAGCTGAACTACGTCTAGAGGAGACTCTAGGCTCGGAGCTCGTCACTAACTTAGCAGATCCACAAGGGTCCCAGCTTAGGTACAGTGTCATCTTTGGCAGTGGGTATCACTTATGGGGTGCTTGTGTGTGTTAAAATTGTGTCTCATGAACAGCCAGCCATGTTTTGTTACTTGTCTTAGATCAGCAGTCAAAGATACTGAATTGTTACAGCCGTATGTGTCACATGTTTTATCTTATTTTCCATCCAGAATACTGGATGTGAGACAACTAATCCAGAACTCAGTATGTTTTTTTTGTGCAGTCACAATGCAGAGCTGCAAAAAATATGCATACTAGTTTCACCATGTCTGTCTGCCTGCCCATAACTGAACATAGAACTTGATGTTCAGGAGATGAGTGACATAACTGAATCTTGAACATTATGCAGACACACCAAGCAGGTTGGCTCAAATGGCAGTACTAATCCCCATTAAAATTGTAGGCAGGATATTGATTATCCTCATGGAGAAGACTGCTGTAACACCATATAGTCTGATAGAATTTCATTGACGTTTCAGAGGGATATACTGCCTCCATCTTCATGGTCAAAGCGTAAGCCATACAATTACTTTTGAGAAGCAGGTGCCAGAGATCCGTTGACTTTGAAGATGGCAGCGCCATATTCATTAAAAATGTTAGTGAAATTCCACAAGTATACATGGCATCACATCCCATTCATAGTCACTGCTGTGAGATCATCAAATCTGATCAGATATCCTGACATAGCTTTTCACTGTTTTTTCACTCACTCCAGGCAAATTCCAGGGTAGTACCTTAAATTAGGGCACAACCATCATTCAGTCATTCAGTGTTACATGGGCTGAGTTACAGTCTGTGTCCCATGCACTTATTTAACAGTGATAAGGTTAACATGCTGAAATGTAGATGATTTATAACCTGTGTTACAGGAAGCTGTTTGCCCAGCTGGAAAGTTTCAAGCTGAGTGGTACACCGTCTCATAAATCAGGGAAAATAAAGCCTGAACATGGCGTTGCTGGACAGAGCAGTGCAGTCACGTATGAACTCACTTATCGGCCAGAACAAGCCCATCTGATTCAGGTTTCTCATGTGGCCGACTTAGAGCACAGACTCCACAAGCTGGAGACTGTACTAGGAGCAACTTCAGAGAAAATGGTACAGTCCTCATCATTACAATTCGAACATTAAACTGTTCTCATAAATCCTGTCCTACTATATGGCTTGTGGAACAGCTTCTAGACTAACCAGATTGACTTAGGTAGTAACCCCAACGATTTATACTGAAGAAGTATCCAGTTCATATCTTGGCTAGAGCACTGACTGATGACTGAGGTTTTCTTGTGGTTTGTTTTGCCTCAGATCTTCCAGGTGTGTACCATACATTAGATCATTATCACATTCTGGATCTGATCAGTGGGTGCCATCAGGTGCCCCTGGATTTTTAAAAAGAAATCAGAATTGAAAAAGAAAGGAAATGCAACAGATGTTAGTACCAAACTAAAATATAAAGAAAAAAAAATATTCTGTGCTGAATGCTTTAGGGTGATCCTTAAAAATATTCATTAGCTTAAACATAAGTTTGTAATAAAATTTTTTGGCTTTCCTATCTTGGATAAAATCATAAGAGGGGCCATGATTATTTCCATTTAATTATTTGCCATCATTCAGTCATTCATTTTCATTAAGTAAACCACAAAGAACTTGTATTTTTCCTTATTCAGCTGATTCCTTATTGACATATATGAGTGACATGTGTTGTGCTACCTAGGCACGCTTGTCACTAGACACGCAGCACAAGAGTCTGATAGAAGTAGCGCAGCAGCTAAATGCGAGAGCAAACCTCCTGGACTCTGCACAGTTGGACCATATTGAGGGCAGGCTTACTGCACTTTCTCAGAAGATGGACAGTATTAATGAGAAGACTTCATCCACACCTGAAGATGCAGAAAGAAATCAAAAGGTATGCAGCAGTGGTGGTGCATATTCTGTTGTAGGGGTTAGCCATTACACGGGACTATAAAATGCACTGAAACAGTATTTAGAGGTGCTACTTTGTGCTGTCTCATGGTCGCATGGCTTCACCCTGCAAGTGAGTGCAAACGTGATACATTAAAGACATTGCAAAAATCTTGAATTCTTTCACAGAAATTAAGACTGATAGAAACAGAATAATTCATGAGTCACTTGCACAGGAGTCAGTGATGTTATGGAACCACACCATAGACTTAAGTATTTTCTCAAAAAACAGTGACTGAAAGAGGAAAACGAGTACAGTGAAATTGTCTTCAGCTGTCAGCCGCATTAGGACAGAATGAAAATCCATTTTGCTTTGAGATATGGCCGATTGCTCAGGAAGACTTAATTGCATTTACTTGTCATGAAAGCTACAGATCTTGGATAAAAGAACAGTCACTTTTGTTGGCAGTACACCGACCAAGGACACCCCCCCCAAGCCTTAAAAAACATACTCAGCCATGTGCCATTCTGTTTTTCACCAGGTTTACTTACTTCATCTTCATTTCTTTACTTGTAAAAAGTGTAAGATTAAGATCATATTTATCATCATTGAAAAATGGTAGCTAGGAGGGTGAAACGATATGCACTGTCTGAAACTTTGTTATCACATCACCTGAAATACTTACAGCTGAGTAGCCTACTTGCCCTGTTCTATACAAAAATACTGGCTGAATATGTGAGGTGAGGGCGGTGTCCCTTTATTTCATGTAAGAAGCCTTGGTTTTCTTGGTCCCCCACCTAATGTTACATGGTCTACTTTATACAAACCATAGGTGCCTAAATAGTCAGGCACTGATATTATAGTTATATTTCTGTTGTGATTAAATTTGCAGTAGTCATAAAATCTATTTCTCCTAGTTGGTGGTTCATTATTAATTTAATTATAATAAATCTTAAGATTTTCCTGTGTTTTCCTCTGTGCATGTCTTATAGAAGTGTTGTGACTGGGGAACCTGAGCTTTTTTTGGTTCTTGCTTCTTGCTGATTGCTTGATGTACTCTTCAGCCCAGAAGACAGAATGAGTATATTCCTCAGAAACGTCAGTACACTTCCGTTAGACTACACGGCAACCCATCTCAGAAGATAGTGCCCTTCATAGTCACTGCTGTGAGAACCTCAAATCCAGTTTACATAAAAATCATTCCTTATGCTCATAAAAGTCTGACTTTATTATCTATCTCATTGCAGGTGAATGAACTATATGAGCTTGTAAAGAAAACTGAAACGTTGTCTCAGGTTCTCCCCCAAACCCTGGAACGTCTACTGGCTCTAGAATCGCTGCATAGACAAGGTAATACTGTATTTCAGTCTGTTAAGGGTGATGTTCTTTCTTGTAACGGAGTGTTCTCTCAGCTGATAATATTCACTTGAACAAGAAAGGTCCCCTTATGGAAGTGAAAGTTTATTGCGGTCATCATAAAAGCCAGCCACTGTGTTCTACACTGAGCTGATAGGAATCTTATCGTCAAAGAATAGGGGGTCTGGTGGCTGGATTTTGACTTGGTATTAATTATGAACAGTATGACGCTATGCCTGCTGGACACTGCTGGGCTTGTGCATGTGCTGACACACAGGTGATGAAAGGAAAAACATCTTACTTTGTAAACAGAGGAGTGCTGGGCTGAGATCGAATCCTTCAACTTAAAGACAAATGTTCTGATATTGTACTGTGTGGTTATGGCTACTACAGGTAGATGAATGTGGGACAGTGGTGAAATGATGATTAGCAGGAGAATAACGGGCCTGGGAGAAAAGTTTGTTACAGTGTTAGTTTGTTTACCACGAATCTCGCATGAAGTCACATGAGATTGAAATATCTGCAGTGAGATGCCAGTGTTAACCACGTGGACTGTGGCGTGACCTACTGGCAGAAGATTCATACAAAAATATCACTGAGTCACACAAGTTTTATAGCATCATATTGACTGTCCTGTCTTTCAAGGTGAAACTTGTGTAACTGGCAGTAGGGATCAGTGTAAGTTATAATCCAGCATGTCAGATCAGAACTGGCACTAAATATGCAGAGTAGAGTCCTTCTTGAGATGCTAATAGTTGCTTAACTACTCAGGATATTTCACATCTTCTGTGAAACCCAAAGAGTTATATTGAAAAGGTTCTTAAAGGTGTAAGATAGGAGAATGTAGACTCGATTCATCTGGTGCAGGGTAGGGCATGGTAATGAACCTTCAGGTTTGTAAAATTCTGGCACACTCCTGAGTGGCTGAGTAACCATGAACATTATTCAGTAAGCAAGGTTCCCCATGTCATATGAATTAAATGAGAAGTCATTACAGTGTTAAATGTATCTTATTTATTCCACTGAAATGTTATTTTCAACAGTTCTTGAGCATAATGATGCATTTGTCCCATACTTTCATGGATTTAAAAATTCTGTTGTGGCAGAAATAGGGCTTTTGTGTTCACACTCATTCTCCAGCTGCCATTTCCACTTCTTCATTATTGGAGAATCCTCAACCTTCCAATTGTTGCTTCAAAGACCCAAACAAATGAAGTCTGACAGAGCAAGTGCTGCAACCTACCAAAACAGCATGTGATTAAAACAAATATTATAGCCTAGGAACATTACCTATTGATCATACCCCATAATTGGGGGGGAGGGGCAGCCATATAATAATATACAGTGCAGTATTCTGTGGTTAATTTGTTTCCATATGTTGATTTTAGCTGTGGACTTCAACAAATCTTTGACACAGCTGGAAGTTCTGCAGCAACAGATTGTAAGCAGTCTGCAGAACAATGACACAATGATGAAAGATGTCCAAACAAACTTCAAGTTGAACTTGGATGCAATTGTGAAGAATATAAGCAGCTTGGAAACTCGAATTTCTGCACTGAACAAGAAATGAGTGCAGAAAATATGCTTTAATTGTTAAGTAGGTTCATTTTAATAATATTGTGAAATAATAAATAAATTATATTTTGTTATTTTCAAGCTATTTGTAAAAAAATGTTAAAATAGACAAGAACTCGAGAGCATTGTCAATTCATATTGTACCATATAACTTCACTATGCTTATGAAAAATAAATAGCACATGGTGTGTTGTGTGTCAGTTCCCCTTTTGCAGGGATAGGCAAAGAGCTCTCATGTCAACAGATGACAAAAGTTGAGGGAAATAGCCCTTAGCTTTTTAGATTGGTAAGTAAAAGTTCAGATTACTGTCTTCTGGGATGTGGCACCGTGTAGTATAATAAATCATTACCAGCCTTTTGGAGGAACCTGTTGCCTCCATCTTTGAGGCAGAAGAATGAAGATGGTTGCTCTGAGGCATTGGTAATAGTCTCTTAGGCTACGTGGTGTCACATCCAAGTAATAATAATCTTTATAGTCACTGCTGTGAGAACCTTAAATCTTGTAAATGAAATGTTGGTAAGAAAAACAGAAGTAATTACAAATGACATATGCCAGTAAAATTGTATGTATGGCTATGTTGAAAACTACATGTTTTATAGAATTAGGACTGAAGATCACAAATATGAATCATCAGTGAAAACATCTTGATGAACATAATATAATTCTGAAGTAGATTTTGGTGTGGCAGAAATTACTGGGCCTACAGTTTCTTAGAGATACCATATTTTCATATTGATGTTATGATATTGTATTTACTCATATAGATTCCATGTCTAAATCTTAGAAAAGTAGTAATTCAGTGTTCTTTCTGAATATTTCCTTTTTAGAATGTTTTATCTGCACTTTGCTCTTATCATGAGCTTTAAAGGTAAATTGAAATGTAAGTCTAAGCACCTTGCCTTTCAGAGCTTACCATGCATTTTGAGTGGAACTGCCAGCATTACATTGGTAAAGATTTTTAATAATACTGCAAATAGAAATATGTGACAAATTGACATTTTATTTTATTCTCTCCCTTGTCAAAATCTCCAGTTTTCCAAGTATGACACCAAAATGTTCATAATATAAGCAAACTTCATGCATATTCTGGAGTTAAGAAATAAGGAAGAATCAAGTTAAGAGATGCACAGTATACCAATTCTCCACATTTTCTGCCTTTTGTTCTGTGATCTCAAAAGAAACAAAGTGTACAATCTAATAAAGCAACAGTTGTAGCAGCAGATTGAGTTATATTTTAATAAAATACACTAACATACACAGAGACATAAAACTTAGGTGGAAGCTTTGTTTAATATCAATAATAAAAGAATCTGTAATCTTTCAGTATGTTTGGAAAACTTGTTCAGAAAGCAAGTTTTATAAGTTGCATCCAGAGATTATTTTCACCATATCAGGGGTAGTCTTATTTCAGAATTCACAGAATCATGTGTAGTCCCAGTCACTATCTGAATAATATGTCCATGAAATTTGATTTCTGTGATGAATCTTCAAACAAAACAAGTAATTCTGTGTACAACTTTTATGATGATTCCATATAATTATAAAGTTGAAAATACATATACTCAGAATATTGCAAGTACCAAAAAATGCAAAGTGAGAAACAAATCAAACATATTGCCCCCTATAAAGTAAGGGGGTTACAAAAATTGCATTCTACAATAACTGTAGGAATCAAACATATTGCCCCCTATAAAGTAAGGGGGTTACAAAAATTGCATTCTACAATAACTGTAGGATGCATTAGTGTATATAGGGTGTTAGCAACAATGCTCTCACTATACGATCATTGAACATTTTGCTCCCTTAGACAAGGACTAGATACGTTATTGCAGGATAATGGTATGATTCTTTTGTAACCAATCCTTCATCTGCTGGCACTAAAATTAAAATATAACATCAACATTTCCATAGATTGAAAATGACCTTCAAATTTGACAGTTTGGCTGTAGACATTTATTTTGTTTTTTCTTTGAAGCTTCATAATATCCAACATGTTGCATTCCCATGTTACATTAAAATAAATTATTGAATTCAGATCATTACATGCAGTGCCATCTCTTAGCAGGTATTTGAAACAATTTTCTATGTTGGAAATAATATACAGATTTAGACTGAAAATGCTTTTCAAATTTTTGTCTAATGTTGTAGATACTTGTTTCAATCTTTCATTGGAGATATGTAAATTTATAACATCCAGACAACTTAACAGTGATTTGAGAGAAAGAAATAAAAAACAATAGATTACTGTATGCAATTATTGTGGACTGCTTTTAACTGGCTGAGGATGTAGTCCAGTGGTGAACTTTTGTGAATGTGGTAATGAATTTTGAATCTTATAGAAGGCAGAACATTTCTTGGGCAGCTAGTTGACTATAAGCTTTGCACAAACCTTGTTTGTAAGGGGTGTGTCATAAAAATCGGCCCCTGCATTGTGACTTTCATGAACCTTGCAGCATAAAGTTAAAGTAGCTACAGTTATCACTATTACAAATGTGGATGTTGTTTCATAAGTTACTGAAACTGAACTTTATGCATGATATGTTCAGATGCCCATTCAGAACACAAAACATTAGACTGAAAATAGTAGGCACCATATATACGTTTGGATACCATGATTTTATGACCATTAGTAATAACTTAAAGAATCTGTTGTTTGTTAACCATTTATAACCCTAAATAATGAGCAATTGAAACTTTTGCTGAACAGTAACTTTTAACACTTCTTTGTGTATTATTGAACTGACTCTGTGGTCTAGTGGTCAGAGTTCCTGGCTACAGATCCAGAGGCCCCAGGTTCAGTTCCACTACCAGATTTTTCTGGGAAGTAGTGGGTCCTCGTGAGGACAATTGAGGAGCTATTTCAAGGAAATAGCAGCTCCAGTCTAGAAACCCGAGATTAACGGCTGTGGGGATCCATTGCACTGACCACATATTGGTAATAACTTTGCCAACAAGCAGCGGTCGCTCAGTTGGTATAGGTCTCTTGCAGACTATAGGCCACAGAGCTTGTGTGTATTATTGTTTGCCTGTTGTGAAATGTTGGGCAGTCAGAGTATTAAAGGTGTAAGGTGGTTACACATGGCAATGTTGAATTTTGTGCAGAATAAAACGTGAATAAGAAAGGATAATGTCAGAACCATGATTTTACGCAAGAGCTGACATAACTATTATAAAAAATTTGTGAAATTAATGATACAATGATATGGATATGTGACTTGTATGGATGGCACCACCATTACCTTGAGAATATACCAAATGTCAGGTGTCAAATGACTGTTATGGTAATCAAGGGCTGGGTAGAGAGGACCAAGGCCCTGAGGCCTACCCAGCCTCTTGTCCAATTGATACAGGTAGTTCTTTCCCTAAGGGTAAAGCAGCTGAGGCATGAAGCTAATCACATACCTCCATATAGTGCTGATTAAGAATGCATGGATCTATACTCCACTCTTCCATACATCTTCGGGACACACTTAATAAATTAAGCAGAAGGAAAATTTTATTTATCCTGTAGTTAATTCAGAATCTTTTTGTCTTCTTGTCTGCCTAAATATGTGAAGATAAGGGTGTCTGAGAACAGCGTACTGAGGAGAATATCAGAACTTAATAGGGATGAAATAAGAGGAAGCTGGTAAAAGCTGCATAATAAAGTGCTTCATAATTTGTACCCGCCACACAGGATGATTACAGATGGATGAGATCAATGAGATGGGCATGGCTGGAAGTTCTGGTGGAAGAAAGGTGCATACAAAATTATGGAGGAAACCCATGAATGAACGAAATCACTAGCGACACCTATGCGCATATGGGACGATAATATGAAAATGGTCTTATAGAAATAGGGTGGGAAGGTATGGACTGAATTCATGTGGCTCAGGACAGGCATCAGTCTAATGTAAACACGGAAACACTTGAATTTCTTGAGTAGCTAGGCAATTATTGATGTCTTAAGGACCCACTTCCATGAGTAGGTTGGTTAGTTACTTTCCAGCACGGATCACGAAAGAAGTGTATGAAATAGGCCGCGCCATAGCTCAAGCGGTTAGACGCTGGCTTCCCACCGCGGCGGCCCGGGTTCAGTCCCAGGTCTGGTCAAGTGGGATTTGTGGTGGACAAAGTGGCGCTGGGGCGGGTTTTCTCCGAGTACTTCGGTTTCCCTTGCCAATCTTAATTCAACCAAATTCTCCATCATCATAATCACCCGGGTCAGGTACAATAGGCCAATCAGTGGCCACCTTGCCGAGTGGACCCAGTTGGACTCCACCCCTCTCTAAGCGAAACAAAAAGTGTATGAAGTAGCGGTAGTGTTGCTGTCGCCTCTCAAGTTTACTATTCGTGAATCAGTATCATCAGTATATCCTAGTTTTAAGCCAGTTCGTACATATGACAATTTATACATAACACGCTTTTCGACCACGGATCTTTCATGATTTAGTCTTTCCTGTTACTGACGTGACATTGGCTGCCGTGCTTGAGCGAACCTTCCATCCGAAAGGATAAGCGCGAAATTTGTTGTATTGTTCGAGTAGTCTATTAATAATGGATTTTTTTAAAAATAAAACTGCTTCGACGGTTTTATTTTCCTCCCTTCCGAAAAAAGAAGTTATATGTTGCGTTGTGGGTTACGTAAAGTACTCGGAGAAATGTGACAGTTCAGCCAAATCCAAGTATCACTGGCAAATACTTCGATGCAGGTACTGGTTGTGATACCGATGTATGAAATTGCATCCTGTTTATCATCTACATAATAGTGCCGAAGGAGTTCTCAGCAATATCGTATTGGAAACTGACGTGAAACAAGATGTATATAAATAAAGTTACATATTGTGGAAGAGGTATCAGTAGTGGAGGGATGAGAGAAAGCACTATGGAACAGAGTTGAATGGCGGAGTTTGTATCCCTAAGTAATTTTAAGATACTTGTCAGCGTTATTTTCTGTAATTGTACGTTTACAGTTGACTTCTCGGAACTCATACGTTCCTCAAGGCTAGGGTGAAATGTTAAGTTGTGTTACACATTTTGCTTCACATGGATCAATGTGGTTATCTTTAAGGGTACAAACATGCCACCTTTAACAGGCATGGGTAATTTGTTCCAAAATTCAGAACCGTATGGTACTTCATCATAGATGAGCAGCTGAATGTGTTTGTTGAGCCCTGTGATGCACAGTCCAATCTGTAATTTGATATGGTATGATTGTGTAGTGAACAGTAACCTCTGATCAAAACTGCCGCACTCTTAAGTAACTATTGTTTGTTATTCCAACTTATATTTTGTTGCAGGCAACTGATATTTTCTGAGCCAGAGATAATAGCTTCACCTGCAAGTGGAGAAGATGGTGCAATTTATATTATTATGACAGATGAGTATTATAAAACTGGAAAGTTACAGCTGCACTTGGAAAAGTTGAGCATGACTGTGAGTGTTACTGGGATAGAAAGTACATGTACATGTGAACCCCAGTGTATGGACATAATGTTTTTTTAAATGTGTTTGTATGTTGAATGTTAATAAGTTGAATTTATTTTTTTCATAAGATATATCTTTAAATTTGTTAATGTTAATTTGTTAAAATGTTCATAAGTATGGGGTTCTGTGTTCATGACATTGAGAGTTACGATTTATTTGTGTATGCAGTGTTTATGAACACAAGTTGTTCATTTCTTGAAAGTTTGTAAGTATAGGTTCGCCTGTCTTTACAGAATTAGTGCTATAAAGTTTCCACATATTGGAAAAAATTTCCTGTCCCATTCCCCATGTTCATTTTACAGAAGTGTTGTTATTCTGTGTGACCTGAAGCAAATACCTTCTTGGACTGTTTGAATACTGGGATGAAGATTCAAACCCTGCATAAGGCATGGATTATATACATGTGTGTGTTTTTTTTTTTTGTGTGTTTGCAGGGACGCCATGATAGCCGATCCCTCATCAAAGGGGTGATACCCAATATTTAAATAATTCACAATATTAACCTTTAAGTGCCGAAATGCCCCGTTTGTGCCATTCATGAGTAAGGTCGTCATGGCCAAAGTGCCCCGTTTGTGCCAGTCAGGCATTTAAACTCAGCTAGTGGAAGCGCGCGCACACACCACTAGTGGAAGCACATGCACAGTCCTAACTATTTATTTTTAAATGTAGTAATTACCAGACAGATTTGAGTAAAACCCTAATAGAGGAATTAAATTGACACCTAAATGAACAACAGCAAATAAAAATATAAGTATGAGTTATGCCAAAACTTATCCACGATCCAGTAAATTTATTGCAGTTTCTGCAGATAGGTATGTTAAAAATATATTGTAAAATTTGATGTACATACCTTTTTTGTTGTTACCTGCTTGATGTATATATAGGCTGAAATTATACTACAGTATTCAATTTCACTACGAACGCACAGAAAACAGATCACACTCTGTATCTTAGCCACGATGCAGCTGTCTGCTCATTCAAATAGAAGGGGCAATAAACTTTTGCAGCTCTAACGGAAGGTCTTAGCACTGAAGAAGGGACCCCTCTAGCTTTCTCTTGAACAGCCATGATTTCATTCTTCTGTCCTTCAGTCAAAAGATATGAAAATCCGAAGAGTATAAGCAGTGCTAGCAGAAGACGAAATGATTTTATTGCTTCCATCTGTTTTATGACACCAGAGACTGCTAAAATTCGTCAAGTGTTACAAACAAATGAATTTATAATGCAGAACAACTCCGTGAAGAACTGGGAAAAAATTTTTGCAGTGCACATAAAAATTTAAACAAAGTATTGAAAATAGAATATAACACTTTGTATTAAAACTTCAAATCTTACGTTATAATATGCAACACTATGTTTTTTGCTGATATAAAAAAGTTAATACCATCCATTTATCATAAAAATTGAGGAAGATACAGCATTTTTAAACACAACGCTTAAAAGTGATTATGCGCCTAATAGGAACGGACATTTAAACGCAGAGTAGCAACGGGCATTTAAACGCGCACCAGCAGCGGGCATTTAAATAAATTCCGGCCAGCTCAAGCTTACCACTATTTCGAAGTTTGGCGTTTAAAGGTTAAAAGCTACCTTTGAATTGGAACAGGTTAGATGGCTGAATCCATGACAACTAAAGATGAAGAAAGTGTTGTTACTTTGACTGTTGCAGATATACATGGAATTAGAATATCGAATAAAGTAAAGTTACTCGTACATTTGCTTGCATATTTGATATTTTTCATTGTCTTGTTTTGATTAGAAAAAACATATTTTGAAAGCTGATTTTCTTCCATCATCAGCTGAAGGCATGAAATATGATATCTCTGGGGATGGAGGTTAGGTGCATCTATTGGGCCTGACAGAATAGCTTTATTATTTACACATGACAGAAGCAGAGACCCAGCTTCCAGGTGTGTTATTTTTTCTTTGGCTGAAGAGGTTATATGAAAGGAAACCTATTCTACTGGGTGTAGCTAGAGATACTCTCAAACCATGTTTTGGATTTACCACATATTCAAATTTGAGTTCTTTCTGTGACTGGTGACGTGGATCGAGCCAAGGTCTGTAATGTGAAATCTGTTCATTTGTAGTGACACCAGTCTTGAGTCATGGCTGAGGTTGAATACGGGGCAAGGAGAATGGACAGAGAAGATACCTATGTTTTGGTGCAAATGTTCCAAGTACTTCTAAAAACCCTGCTTTTCAGCCTTTGTGAAATATTGAATTTACTGCTGAACATGGTCAGATTTGAGATTCATGACAGTAGTGACTATGAATGTCAAGTCTTGTGGATCTGGATTATATGAAAATCAAGATAATTTGCTTATACATGGACACACAGTCTGTCGGCGCCACACCCTTCATCAGAGTTGAAATGTATTTAGATATGAAATTTTTCCAAGTTTTTATAAAACACACAATTTCTATATGCATTTATTCTGGCTAGTGTAGTATCAATCATATTTCAGTGGGGCAGTCCAGAAGCAGTGTCCAACATAACCTATGAAGCCTGTTTCCGCTACACGCTGATAGCTCGTATCAGTCCTCTGTGGAACCAGGTTGATTGTTACTTAATCCAGGGTCGTGATTTCCTTCTGAATGCGTCTCCTATGAATGCTATTAAATTTGAACTAATAGCCAGAGGTGAGTTATTGTTTTAGACACTTTTGAAACTGCTGTTTAATATGTAATAACATTACAGCCAGACTTTCACCTTAGCCGGGGTATGATCTGTGTTGATTTGACATAGGATGGCCATTTTACAAACATATTTCTAGTTTGGTATAGTGAACTGCAATGTTTAATTTCCTTTGAAGATGAAAATGTGTTCCTGTCTGTGTGGCCAATACAAATTAGACTTTCCTGTTTACTGAAGAGTCACGTTGATGTGGAACACAACCGTGAGGATAAGTGGGTTCATGTACTACCCAGGTAAGGCACATTATGATCATTACATTTTTCATTTGTTGCTAAAATTATACTTTTTTGAATATGTTTTTTTTTTTAATTTTATCAGAATATATATATCTACTACTTTGTCACTCTGAGCAATGGCTATTTATATTGCATACATGATATTGGGCTCTTGTTACATACAAGTGAATTTTGCTTTCCAGACAAAGAGTAGCATATGCAAGCAGTATAATTTCATACGAAGGTACAGGGGCATTAAAAGAATGTCTTGGAATTGTTCTCAGTGAGTCCAGTTACAGTTATGAATTTGTAGTGTCATCTTGTATGAATAGGTACAGAATTTTTTTTGTGTTACTTTTTCTTGTTTGTGAAACAATAATAACAATATGACTAATGTGAGAATAATTGATGTTAGGTATACAGACTTCATGATGGTAATTGCACTTGTCTTGGCATATGAAAGGGGGCACGCAGTAGCGTAGTTGGTTGAGGCACTATGCTACAAGCCGGAAGGTCGAGGGTTCAAGTCCCGATGAGGTCATTGGATTATTTCAGTTGATGTAATCCTTCCAGCCGCACTATGGCCCTGGGGTCGACTCAGCCTCTAACAGAAATGAGTACCAGAAATTAATTAAATAATTTTCCTTGGAAGTAAAGCGCGGCCGGTGCGTAAGGCTGACAACCTTACTGCCATCTTTGAGCCGATTGTCTAGATAATGTGAGACCCTCAACGTCTCACAACCCTATGTGCCTTCATGGCCTGTTACAGGCATAGCTTTACTTTTACTTTTTACTCGGCATATGAAAATGGGCATGATTGTAAAAGACACAATGTTAATCCCATCAGTGGTGACTAAAAGTTACATTTCTGTTTTATAACATGTAATGCCCATCGTTTCGTCCAAAAACCTATGACAAATATTTCCATATACTGCTGCCATCTTCTGAGAAATATAAGAACCATGTGCAGAAACTGTCACATAGTCTGGTGAAATATCAGAATAGCATATGCAGTACTGAACCTGACTCTTTTCTGGAATGTGCTGTTTAGAAAAGTGTCTCCTAGAATATATGATTCCTTTAATGGTAGTGTTGATAGGATTATAAATAGGATTATGAATCCTGCAGTGGAGAGTGAATGATGGAAGAATTCTGGAAATACCAAGCTTAATATTATTGATGTGGTGGCTGTGCCAGTCTTTAGGATTGAGAAGGATGTTTGCACTTTAAATACCATAATTTCAAATTTCAATTTCAATTTATTTCAAATTCAAAAATAGATCCAGATACAGAATGGGAAACAACCATTGGATATAGAATGAGTCACAGATCAAAAAACAAGCATTCCATTCCCACAGGAACAAGTCAAGGCATTCATAATATAAAACAAAATAAAAGAACATATCAGCCATATATACAACAAAACTCCCCCAGTATGGAACTCATGACTCGTCTATTATTTCCATAAAATCCAATACTTTAGGATGTGGAAAAGTCACATTAGATAAATAAGTAGTACAAAGAACTAAGTCAAGACATAAGAATAGAACCAGAATACAATTAAGCTTATCGACTAGTATGTACAAAAAATTCATCCACAGTATAAAATGGGTGACAAGTTATTTTGTCAAAATAAATTTGATTTGTAGAAATGAACCTTTAGTAGGTTGGACATTGCCAGGAAGATTACGTGATTCGGGATACTGTAATGTGAGAAAGAGGTTGTGGATCTCTGACATACCCTGATCTGCAGCATTAGTGCTGACTTGATGCTGTTTCTTGTTGCAGCTTGAAGAAGGCCCGCATAATGTCTGTGTCCCCTCACATCCCAGTTTCCTGCCCTTTCCGGACCTACAGGGAAATTAAAAGGCACTGGAAGAATATGGTAATATGCCTTTTGGTAATAAGCTCAGTTGCATATTAAGATTACAGTCTTGCTGGGAAGTGTCATGTAGACTGGTTGATGGTTACCTATGTTTGATAGCAACATGTTGCCTCCTATTTCTACCCTCAAGATGGAGGCAGCAGGATCCTTCAAAATAATAGGTAATCATCTATCAGACGACATGGTGTTACATCCCAGATGGCTGTAATCTTAATATCCACTGGGGTGGGAACCACATCTCTCGTTGGCACATGTGTGAGATAATTTTCAAGATTTGACTTTGTACAGTGTGACACCATGCAGTTTGGCAGATAGGTACCAGCCTTTCAGACAGACCTGCTACCTCCATGTTAAGAGTAGAAGAAATTCCTTAGTTGTATGTCATGTGTAAATGGAAATGCATATATTAGGGAGGCTGTGTGTAAGGATGTGATAGAGACCAATGTACAATGCATTCAGTAGTTGAGGAAACCTGCCAACAATGCACAGCAGAAAGAACATTTCTCCCAGAGGGCTGCTGTAACTGCCAATAGCAGAATGAGTCATTAGTCCTGATATTCACGTGCCGTCAGGTGGTCTGATCTTGTTGTAATGAATAGATTCAAGTTTTCTTGACCTTGGCACTAGTTGAAGGTGAGTGAGTTAGTGAGTAAGAAGTATACTTTCCAATAAACTTAAACGTGAAGCAGTAGCGAAATATATGTTTGGACAAACTGAGAAAAACCATTGAAAACCTTGTCATCTTCCAAAAAATGTTTGATGACTCCACAAGTTTTAATCTGCTGTCTTCTAGTATGGTTACAGACTGCCGGACACACCTGACCAGCTCTTCTTCTGCTCGCTGAGCTTCCAGTCCTTCAGTCCCACACTCTACACATACCCAAGTCTTTGTGTGAGGCCACAGGGCTTGTTCTTCCTCCGACACATGGACAATATGGGTGTGCTCCAAGTCTTTCTGGCAGACATAGCTACTAAGCTACCAGCCATGTGTGGGCAACCTCTGGGCACTGAGTCTCATGTACTGTATGCTGTACCCAGGCTCTACCATTCCAGTGAGGTAGTTCATATAGCTATAATTTTATGCTGTAAGTTGTGGATATTTTCTGTGATGTTATCTGCATTGTAATAAACGTTATTTTATTTACTCTCAACAGGCAAGTTGGCTTGGGTGGTAACAGTTCTGACTTGTACTCTGTTATTCATGCATTTTTTGTTTGGAGTTGTGAAAGAAGTTTCAGAACTTGAAAACGCTGTTTTACCTTTAGCAGAATTCTTTTTAATGTTTGTAATGACATATCAGTGGCTGTGAAAACAAATTCTAGCACTTCACCATAAAAGAAAAATTAATGATCCCATTAGTGACTTAGTTTAGATACATTTGTAACAGTTTGTGCCATGTGACATCACAGTGCCTTGTACATTAATCTTGAACACATTGTCTTATAAATAAATTTATCATCTTCTCTCACTCTCACTACATGTTTCGGCATAAAAATGCCATCTTCAGGTGCTACTCAATTCACGTCAAACTAGTACATTGTATGCCTTGTCTTCACTTTAAAATAACTAATATATATGATGNTCATGTTAAGTACTTACATAAAACAAAGAACATTACAGAATTTTAATGTTACATGTGAAGTGTAAACTACTTGACTGCAATAATTACCAAAAAAAAAAAATCTTGAATAGCAGAGCAATTGAACATCCCCAAAAACAACTGATGCACTGCTGCCTGGGCAGTACTTGATGTGGTAGGGAATAATTGTCTGATGTCACAGACAACTGCTGAAGTGGCTTACAAATGTTATTTTGTTTCGTGACTCTCTTACAAAAGTGAGCCCACTTTATTTATACTTTATTTAATGATTCCCTCTATAGCTCAGATTCTGTAGTGTCAACTGGTAGGACGATTAATGAATTGTGAACAGGAGAGAATGTGGAAGGGATTGGGCTATCCTGGCATTCACTTGGGAGGACTGAGGAAAACCACAAAAACTGCGATCAGGGTCATCATTTGAGCCATCTTGCTTGGTGAGCCTATTTTCAAATCACATAGATATTGGTTATGTTTGCTTACAGAGTTTGGAATATGCGAACTTATCAGCACTGTCTGAACATCTTCCAGCCAGAAAATCAGAAGTTTTATCATCGATTTCGAAGGCTGAAATATTATCCAGTGAAAGTTTTGCAGTGGATTCATTGGGAAGCAGTTGTAATTTTCTGGCTAGATGCCAATCACAAACTGAAGTATTATCCAGTGAAAGCTGTGCAGCAGCAGGCGCAATGGGAAGTGAAGGTAACTTGCTGGCACCTAGCTGCAGAGGTGGACTTGTCTACTGCAATTTTAGGAACAAGCCATTAGTTCTAAAGATGAAGCATAAAGTAGTTACTAAAAGTCTATTGTGCAGTTACCACTATGTGCAAGAGGGTCCATTCTTGTTAGGCATATGCAAGAATTACTCTTTCATTTATAATGACAATTTGGAAAAATTTTGTGAATCAAGACAAGTACAGTGATTTTCTCTACTAGACAATTTTTCACTTTATTCACAATTTATAGTAATGTGCAGCTACTAATTCACATTATACTAAAATGTACACTTGATCTCATATGCTGATGCTCTATATAGATATAGAGAGAGACACAGTGTGGGAAGGAAAATGCAGAGAGAAAGAGAGTCTGATTTTGTCACAAGTTGATCAGTTCTCTCATTACAGCTGTTACAGTTCTAATGAACTGGGCAGTTTGCTTGCTGTTGAGCAAAACAAATGTTCTCATCTGAAAATCCTCGAAGTTCAAGATAAAAAAGTATGTGTTTAACTAAAGAATATGTTATTATTTTCTGGATTTCATTTAAAAAATGTAAGAGGTCACAACATATGACCTAGTTCTAAGAAATGCTATGCATACTTATTTTCAGAAGTTTCTGGAAGTACCCCAAGCCAAATCTGCAGATTATTTCAAAGAATAACCAATTCAGATGTGTGAAAGTAATCAAAGTTAATGTAAGGGAATATAAACTTTGCTGCATACGTAAAGCCACTGGTTATTTTAAGAGTTTGTATACAGCTAAATTGATTCATTGTTAATAATCCAGATTTAATTTTAAGTTTCTTGTTCTGATATGTGACAAATGCACTTTATTTTCTGAAACTCCGCATGTAGGTCATTTAAATCCATTTGAAAACCAAGCTATCAGCTGGTAGGCTAGGATTTAAAAACCACACTCTCATCTATGACAGGGTCTGTCAAATGGCCTCTTTCATTGAAGTATTCCAAGTTCAGTATTCATTTGCAATTTATAGTTTGAATCTGAAATTTAATCTGAAAAAGAATTTATGAATTATACAAGGTGAACTGTAGTAATATTATTTCTTTCCAAGTAAGCAGTGGCTTTAAAATTAACAAAAAAGGAGAGTATGGAGTTAATTTTGGCATGTGGAAAGTCAGTCACTTCAAAACAATTTTAATAACCTCATCCCTGTCCACCATCAAAGTGGTAGCTTTAAAATTAGCAGAGGCAGAGTGGCTGAAGTTAGTTTTGTTGTGTGGAAAATAAGGGATGTAAAATTGATCAGTTGCTGTTGAATTCAATGAACAACATTCTGGGATAGTGGGGTCGGTATAGTGACTGACTATGGGCTGGATGACCAAGGGTCAGAGTTTGAGTCCTGGTGTGGTGAAGAATTTTCTCTTCTTCATGTTGTCAAAACTGGCTCTGGGGCCCACCCAGCCTTCTATCCAATGGGTACTGGGGGACTCTTTCCCCTGGGGTAAAGCAGCTGGGGCGTGAAGCTGACCACTCACCTCCAACTAGTGCCGAGGTCAAGAAAATGAGGATCTATACATCCACTCCCCATACGCCTTCATGGCATAGCGCTTAATTAGTTAAGCACAGAGATAACTTTACCTTACACTCCAAGATGCCTCTGATTGCTTAGACATCCATTGGAAGAATAATTTGCCTTACGGTGTATACATTACATGCTATGTTGCCTGCCTCATGGAATAGTCCACCAGATCACACTTGTTTTTTCCAGTAGACATTCTAAAGGGACAAAAGAAGCTGTGTCCTGTGTTTAAGCCCAGGACTTGCCCACCAGTCAGTTATGTCATGCCAGAGAGCAGAGGACCATCACCTCATGGTACATTCCAGTCCTTGTCATGTGGTGACCTCGACTCTGTCACTCTGCCTAGCAAGGTATGTCTCTGACAAAGCAGTATGATGCATTCTCCCATGTTGTATCTGTTCACTGTATGTATCTCATGAATGTAAGCCTTACTTGGTTAATACAAAATCAAACTGCTCTGTTATTTAACTAAGTCATCTCAGTCCTTCCGCCATATTAAGACGGGATGGCTTTCAAATATTCTGGAAACTTACCACCTCCATCATAAGTGACTGATATGGAAAATTGCACCACTATAATTATCACATCAACTTCCAGTTGTGGGAGGCAGTGGAATTTCCAAAGCATTTAAAAGCCATTCCATCTTGAATGGCTGACTGTCCAAGAAGACTTCATTGTATTTACTCATCGTGAAAAGGCCACGCCATAGCTCAAGCGGTTAGCCACTGGCTTCCAACCGCGGTGGCCCGGGTTTGATCCTGGGTCTGATCAAGTGGGATTTGTGGTGGACAAAGTGGTGCTGGGGCGAGATTTCTCCAAGTACTTCGGTTTCCCCTGCCAATCTTCATTCCACCAAATTCTCCATCATCATAATCACCCGGGGCAGGCTACAATAGGCCAATCAGGGGCCGCTGTGCCGAGTGGACCCAGCTGGACTCCACCCCCCAGTAAGTGAATTAATTATTCATCGTTAGAGTTTTCCATGTTATTAATTTATTGGCAATATGGTACAGCTATTATATGTTGTTATTGAAATGGGTAAGTAACTCGCTGTTGGTGCTGCAAAATTTTGAAGCATCATGGTACATGAACAAAATTTTAAAACTGGATCAAGATATTCAGGGTGTTATTTATTATTATTAGAAGGGGTGGGTTTGCCCATGCACTTAGACCAGTTATTGGTCCATTGTGCATCCCCCTTTAATTTCTACTGTCGCCATACCCTACTGGTACTGGTGCGTGCTATCAGCCCTGTTCAGCCAACGAGGTCGGCTGTCGGTACCTGATATTCCCCCCATCTACCAGAGGCATTGGAAACTACTTGGGCAGGAAATTGTTGCCTAATTTTGCTCAGAGGTCTCCTAGAGACATGAGGATCTTTGACGTGCCGTAAATCTACGACATGGGACCCAAGGCTTAAAGTCCCTTCCGGAGGACTTGTTCCCTGAATTTTTCCGCCCTTAAAAATTCCACGACCTCCGCCGGGTTTTAACGCACGTACCTTGAGTCATGAGGTGGGAACGTTACCCCTAGACTACGGAGGCCGCTTATTCAGGGTGTTAGTTTTTCATTTTAGATGTAGGCGTATTGAGAGACTGAGTCCCTTGGTACTGTGACGTAACATGTGTCCGCTGTACCAGCCCCTGATGATAGATCAGTATGGGGTACTAGTGGAATGATAATTGACAGGAGGAAACTGAAGTGCTTGGCGAAGAACCTGCTCCAGTGTCACTTTGACTGGAGTTTAACCAGGAAATCTACAGTGAGAGGCAGGGCACTAACTGTCTGAGTTATGGCAGATGTCTTCGATATGTTAAGAAACTATAGTAATAAGATTATCTGTGTAACTTCACATTACGAAATATGACAATATATATATGCAACAACAAATTTAATATATTCTGGGATATAACATTTTACAATCCTTTGAAAGAAGCCACTTGATGTTTTGGAGGAACATTCTACCTCCATCTTCAAGGTTGAAGAGTAAGCCAAGCAAGAATCAAGCATGAAACAGGTAAGAAGCCTTTCTTCTTCATAACCACTGATGTGAGAATCTCAAATCCTACAAAATAAGTATTTGTTCTTAATACTGATAGGCACCTGTTTCAAATATAAACTGTGTTACTGGTTACTGTGACTGGATATCCTTAGTCACCCTGGGAAATACTGGGATAGCATCTGTGAGTAGACCATGACCATATCCTTCCAAATGACTGCTGTCCATGACTACCCTTCCAGCTCACTCATATCTATAAAATATTTGCATTTGAAATAGTATCATAAAGCAATCACCCCATATGGAGGTGGGCTAGAATATCTCCACCAGAGCTCCGTGAGACAAAAAGGGAACCTTGTGCCTGGAGGTATATGTGGGCCACTGGTCTCTTGGGGAAATAAATACAGGGACCTGGTCCTCCAGGTTAGGGGTTGAATGCAAGGCTGATGACCTTACATTGTAAAGAAATTACTGTTGTGAAATCCCAAAAAGTGAAAACCAGAAAGTCTAATTTAATAGAAAAGTCTGGCAGAATCTTCTAAGGAAGGCTCTGGCTCAAAGAATGTTTTGACAATGGTGATTATGACCTTCATATAGGAATCAGTTAATCACTAGACATCTTCACAAGGTATGAGACTTGGGGTTCTCACAGTTGTGAGAGTGAATATTGTGGTATGCTTGGTTCTGAAGAAGATGGGGCTTGAAGTTCCTGTGAAATGTTACCTACATATCAAACTACACATTGTCGTGTTTCAGAAGACCATGATCTAGGTTTTTATTTAGAATCTGGTGTGGTCCAGTCATTCATCTGTTGCATACTGATGTTCACTTGTTTTTTTAATGTTGGACATAGGTCGAAGGGGGTAAGAAACCTCGGTCCCGCCCTCAGGTGCAGCCCGATGTAGATGTGGAGGCCCTGGCAAGAAATCGGGATCTGTCACGTGTCAATGCAGTCACCCTAGTCTCTTGGCTTCGTGCCAAGAATGTTCCATGTAAGGTGAAAGACAGAAAGTCAGTTCTGATAGAGAAAGTTATGATTCAGCTTAATCTTCAGTTGTAAAACGTGTTTTGTTTTAGAGACATAAATAATTCAGAATAGGTTGTTATAATATCTGTCACAGCGAATTCTTCAGTCAAGATGAGCTTCCATTTAATGAACAGTTCACCTGATTATTCTGCAGTGGTACCTACTTACAGTTTATCATCTGAAGTGAATCACAATTTTGATCAGATCTTCATGTTTATTATGAATAATTCTGTAACTATAGTTACTAATTATTTGTGTTCTGTACTTTTTAAATAGTTTCCCATTTCAAATGAGTTTGCATTCCCATAACCCATTTGCATCTGTAAGTGTGCCTAGACACACTCATGCTATATGCATATTTCACCATAACCTTACTTTTACATAGAACAGGATTACTTTAAGTGGTTCCTGCTTCCATCTGTGACTGAAAGTATTGGTATCAACTTAGGGGCCAACTTTCAGTCAGAAAACCAGTATTTAAGCAGAGCCAATGTATTTGTGTTTCATGCTTCATTTTGGCTTTTGTGTGAATGGTGTATTGTGAGGCTTGTTCAAATAAACCTTGTTCATGGATTGTTCTGGGCAAAGGAGTAGGGACTGTTAAAAATAGGATGTTGAGGCAGGTAACCCACTGATGCACCATCTGATGGATCCCCTCAACTAAGAGCTCCCTGGGCTGCAGCTGGATCCACGGCACCTCTGCAGCTTGAATCTCATTCTTTGATGCAAAATTATGGCAGTTAGAACTCTGTGCTGTATGGGGATGATCCAACACCTTCCAGTGTATGGGGAGCTGTGTGTCCCGGACAGCGCCTCATGGGGACGGATGATGAGAATGCCGAGGCTCTTGATGGTGGCATGGAGGTCTTTGAGCATTCCACACTCATGCTATGTGTTGAGGGTGCCTCTTTCCTGGCACCATTTAGCTGAATGACAACATGCTGGTACTGTTGGGACCAATTCTGCACTTGTGGCATGTCACGTAGTTCCCATTTGGCTCTGGCATGCCCATTCTGTTGGCACTGTTCATAGTTGACTGCATGTGTGTCATGCATACAGCCGTGTGATCACCTGTGACCGACTGTTCGTTAGCAGTGTCTCAAATGGGTTTCATTTGAACATCATGCATATGGAGCCACATCAGTGCCCAAGACTGACTTAAAGGACTGCAGAGGAGAAACGATGAATATGTATTTGGCTGATAGAGGTTCATCTTTTAGGTATTCCATGTGATATAAATGCCTGAAAATCAATACATAAATGTTACAGTATATTATGTATTCCTAATTTGTTGCAGTTTCATTCTGTGAATGTTATTTTATTGTTTATTGTATTTTCAAACTGTCTGTTATTGTACTAAGAGCTAAAAACATGTTTTCCATAAAAGACTGAAGTAAGATGTCTGTGTCTCATTACTGTAAAATAAAAGTTCTTTACTCACACTTATATGGATTGTTTGTTATTGTGTCTGAGTATGCGTTGATGGCAGAGTGTTGACAATCTATGTATTCTATGACAAATGGGATTTGCAGACCATTATGGAAAGTAAAGTTGGAGACATACAAAGGTGCTTTGGTTATTATGTGCAAGACTTTAGATTGGAATCTTTGAATTATTCTTGTGTTCGATAGTTTTATGCAACCATGTATATGTATACCATATGTCCTTATGGGTTTTATCATGTATTTATATAGTGGAAGTTTGTTTTCAATGGATGACTTTGATTTGTGGCCCAAAATCCATGACATTTCTCGTAGTCTTAAGTTTAACTTCTGACACTCTGTTTTGATGTGTTTCTGTCAGTTTTTGGTTGAGGTATAAACCCAAGTATTTTACTTTGGTTTGAACTGGTATTCTTATGCTGTCGATGATAACTTGCGGGCAATTTATTTGTTTCGTGGTGAATGTAACTTGCACAGATTTTGTCTGATTTATTTTGATTTTCCATTTGCCGTACCATTGCTGGAGGAGGTTTAGATGATGTTAGGGATGTCGCGATGTTACTGCTGCTGGCGAGGCTGTGTCACGCACACAGGTTGCAATCATGGTGTCATTTGTTGTTGGCAAGACTGCAGTATAGATTAAATATGGTAGAGGGCCCATCACACTTCCTTGTGGTATCCCTGATTTTATTTGATAGCAATTTGAATATGGATTATTATTATATACTGTAAAAGGTAAGGTTAAAATTCTCCCTATGCTTTATTAACCTTTAACGTCTGAAGTGCCCCGTTTGTGCCAGTCATGAGTAAGGTTGTCGTGGCCAAAGTACCCTGTTTTGGCCAGTCGGGCATTTAAACTCCGCTAGTGGAAGCGCATGCACACGCCGCTAATAGAAGCTCATGCACAGTCCTAAATATTTATTTTTAAATGTAGTAATTACCAGACTGACTTGAGTAAAACCCTAATAGAGGAATTAAAATGATACCTAAGTGAACAACAACAAAAAGGGTATACGTATGAGTTATCCCCAAACTCGTCCATGAGCCAATACTTTTATTGCAGATTCTGCAGATTAATGTGTTAAAAATATATAGTAAAATCCGAGGTACATAACTTTTTTGTTGTTTTCTGCTTGATGTATATATAGGCTGAAATGAAACTACAGTATTTGATTTCACTACGAACACACAGAAAACAGATCACACTCTGTATGTGAGCCACGATGCAGCTGTCTGTTCATGCCCATAGAAAGGGCAATGATCTTTTGCAGCTCTAATGGAAGGTCTTAGCACTGAAGAAGGGACCCCTCTAGCTATTTCTTGAATAGCCATGCTTTCATTCTTCTGTCATTTAGCCAAACGATTTGAAAATCTGAAGAGTGTAACAAAGATGTAAGGTTTTCCAGCAGAGAACCAAATGATTTTATTGCTTCCATCTGTTTTATGGCACCAGGGACTGCTAAAATTTGTCAAGTGTTACAAACAGAAACGAATTTATAATGCAGAATAACTCTGTGAAGGACTTGGAAAACAATTTTGCAGCATGCATCAAAATTAAAAGAAAAAAATTGAAAATAGAGTATAACTTTATGTATAAAATTTTTTAAATCTTCCGTTGTAATATGCGACTCTATGTTCTTTGCTGATACAAACAAAGTTAATTCCATCCATTTATCATAAAAATTGTGTTAGACACAGCATTTTTAAACACAATGCTTAAAATTGTTAAGCGCCCTAATGGGAATTGACATTTAAACACAGAGTAGCAACGTGCATTTAAACGCGTACCAGCAGCGGGTATTTAAATAAACTCCGGCCAGCTCAAGCTTACCACCATTTCAAAAGCCCGGCGTTTAAAGCTTAAGCATCATGGCAACAGATGAAAGTGAGTGGTCAGCTACATGACCCAGCCACGTAAGCCTGGGGAGATAGTGTCCTCTTACCCACAGAAGAGGGGGCTTGGTGGGTCCTGGAGCTGATTCTTGAACCCTGATTCTTGTCATCGAGCCTGTTTCACTGCTCTACTGTATGAGCTATCCTGCTTCCCACTCACCGCTGTAAGAACATATTAATTTATTGATAGTCAGGCCACCTGATCTGATTTTATTGATTCGGGCTTTAACTGGACACCAAACTGATCTCAGTTTTCAAACTGACTTTCTTTTTTCCATGCCATGTTATGCCTGTCACAAAGAAAGGTCATCGAGCATCCAGTACAAGCATTGGCTTTTTGGGCACTATCCATCATCCTGTTTTTATTTAAAACAGCTTTTCAGATACTGCAATCTGTTTGCATTGTCAGTGTACGAAGGTTAGTCAGCTGGGCCCAATTGATAGACCCAATCCCCATCTCTGAACTTTTATATCACTTTTAGTATCCAGCAGCATCCCAGATCAACAATCAGATAATTATGAACCTTACTTACTCATGGAGCTGAGCCCTTCTGGAGGAGCCGCCAATTCTGCAGCTACTCAAGAATTTTCCAGCATTTTATCGAACCCGAAGGTTCATTACCGTGTTCACAAGAGCCCTCCACTGGTCCCTATCCTGAGCCAGATCTATCCAATCCATCCCATCCTATCTCTCTAAGATCCATTCTAATATTGTCCACCCACCTACACCTTGGTCTTCCCTGTGGTCTCTCTCCTTCTGGCTTTCCCACCAATATCCTACACGCATTCCTTGTCTCCCCCATTCGTGCTACATGACCTGCCCACCTCATCCTCCTTAACTTGATCATTCTAATTATTCTTGGAGAAGAGTACAAGTTATGAAGCTCCTCATTATGCAATTGTCTCCAACCTCCTGTCACTTCATCTCTCTTCGGTCAAAATATTCTCCTCAGCACCCTGTTCTCAAACACCCTCAGTCTATGTTCCTCCCTTAATGTCAGAGACCAAGTTTCACACCCATCCAGAACCACAGGGAAAATTATAGTTTTGTATTTTACGTTTTTGAGCAGCAGACGAGATGACAAAATGTTCTGGACTGAAAGGTAGCAAGCATTGCCCGAGTTCAGTCGCCTCTTAATTTCCTCCTGAATCAGGTTTCAATCTGTTATCGTTGTTCCCAAATATCTGAACTGTGCCACATTTTCAAATCCTCAATAAAGTTTGGGCCATTGATATTGTGCCCATGTTCACTAGGTAACCTAGTTCACCTGATATTTGGTAACTTAGAAAATATATTGTTTGCTTAGTAATGTACTATTATGGATGAATATGGAATTTGTAGGAAAACCAAATATTTTTAGAAAACTTTCTTCATAATTCGTTTCTGTGAACAACAGTATTTTACCCTTTGTAATTTTATAAATTCAGCAATTCTCTACTGTAAATGGACAGATCTGAGTAACCTTGTATTCATTTTTTGATGTAAATTGTGCAGAGAACCTGTAATTCTCATTAACAAACTCATCTAACAAACAAACAATTTATTTTCTGTGCATTTTTCAAGTGTTCCAAAATTTATCTAAATTCTGGTGACTCCAATAAAGTTACAATAAGGTTAACAATCAAGTTCCTTCCGTCAAATGTGACACTTTTATAAGTTTTCCACCTCGTCACCACCTGCCTTACATGTTACGGCTCACCACTTATAAAAGTGTCACATTTGACGGAAGGAACTTGATTGTTAATTTGTTAGTGTGACGGACCAGAATGAAAGACCTTAAACTTACAATAAGGTGTCAGACTGCTAGGGATAGGAAAGCATACAACACTGCAGAAATAAGATGATGATTGTAATATGATGATTCAGTTTATTTTAAAGCTTCACATACACTATGTACAAGGCATCTGTTTCCTTATTTGATAATACTCATAACTACAAATATCTGGAAATTTAAAATCTTAAATAATATATTTCTTTTGTACAGTCCACATTCATAACAGATGTAAGTAGAACTGAAGTATTGTACTATGAACATACTCAGGAGGAAACTGAAAAAGGGGAGTTATGGCTCTGAAACAATTGTGTTTATCTTTCAGAATGTGAAGTGTCCTGAGGTGTGGTTAGGATCTAGTTATAATAAAATAATAACAATAATAATAATAATATGGGGCATGGGGCTGCTTGCCACATGTGTAAGAAGGGCAGTGTCCCCTACACTGCACATACTGAAACTAACTACATCGAGCAGAGTCCTTCTTAGGAAGCTAATGAAGAAATTCTCGGAATTTTATACAGCCTAAAGGTTCATTGCCTCACTGGTGTTCTTNGTATCTTGAACTATGTAACATCAGATGGTTGGATGATAGTGAAAATTAATTGAAAATGACATGGAAGTAAGCAGTCATGACTTAACTGAGGTACAAGCCCAGCATTTGCCTGGAGAGACTGAGGAAAACCATATAAACCTCATGATAGTTGGTGTTCTGGCTGAGATTTGAACTGAGCACCTCATGAATTAAAATCTTAAGAGCATTATCACTACACCAACCTGTTTTGTGGTCCTTATTCTGAGCCAGGTTAATCCAGGACATGTCCTATCTCATTTTTAAGATCCATTTTAATATTATCCTCTAACCTACAGCTTGGTCTTCCAAGTCATCTCTTTATTTTATGCTTTCATACCAAATCTTTTTATGCATATCTCTTCCATACTGAAAAGTATCTGAATTATGGACCAGGTTATAACACTACTGATCAGATGTTAATGAAATTACAACCACACATTGAGTGAAGTGTGTGTAGCTTTCCTTACATGTGTATTGTAATGTTACAAATGTGGGAATATATACAATTATTGACTTTTAGGTCATATCCATTGTCTTTTTTTATTATCGTTTAAAAACGTTTTGGAAACTGGGCTCTTTCTCTGTTCTTAGGTAAAATCCTTACGAAGTTGGGTCCAGTCAACAAAACTAGTCCTTGTCTTTAGATATGCCATTGTCACATACTTTTAAAGCATATGAGAGTGTATGTTTGATGTACATTAATTTCTTGATTGTTCAGATATGCTGTCTTTGAATGGTACAGAGACCAGATTAAGAGCAAACCAG